GTAAAATCGGCAGAAAAATAAGTGATAATTGGATTGTAAGAAATTTTCCTCGGAACAGTTATAGTAGATTTTGTAAACTCATCATCATTAACAACTTCTTTTTTTTAATAAAAATAAACGACAGCACAAATTGAGTTTGCTTTAAATATACATAATGATACAAAAATACATAAAAGTTATATACATAATGATTACTTGTCTTTACCCGAAAAATATTAAAAGCAGAGTAAAAAACTCGTAAAATAGTTTCTATATAACCAGGCTATTTATTGTTTTTGTTGCCTGTAACGGTTTTAAGGCACAGTAGCGATTAAGGTCGTTGATTGTAGTCGAAAGAGTTTCCATCTTCAATGACTTGAGTGCAGAAGACTCTGCTTCAAATTTGGGGCCAATACATCTAAACAAGTTCGATACCTACCACGTTTCAGATTTCAGATAACCCTGTTAAAGACTTGGGACATTATCAAAAGATATGTGGTATTTTTAATCACAGACCGGTTATAAACTTGATGGTTACATGTGATTTATGGTCTAGTTAATGCAAACAGTAACAATTTGTAATAACAACAGTAACAATTTGCAATAACAACAGTAACAATTTGCAATAACAACATTATGCAATTTATGGCGCAAACATTTTCGTCTCGTTTGGGGATCGAACCCGCAACACGACGCAATTTGAAAGGAACATCTATTGCGCCGTATATCAGTGCATAATATTGTTTTGTTATTACCAATAGCTTTGTAAACTGTACACTTTGGTTTGGCGAATTATCTATATCTCTACTCGCTGGGCGATATGAGGAACTCGCGGTCGTTTCAAAGAGGAAATCATATCAATTAGTCGGTCCTATCTAAGGATAAGATATCAGCGGACAATATTCGCCTGAAGAACACACATTACATTACATTATTACAAAATTAAGTTCTCACACTTTTGTAGCATTATCTTCTACTTGTTGGCTACGTGATTGCCGATTGGGAGGCCTGGGTCTTAGGGTAGCGAGTTCGAATTCGAACTTAGCGGTATAACCCGTGTTATTTAAAGATTTTCTTGTAGCAAAAATCTGGGGGCCCATTATGCGACGTATATCCTTTGAACCTAAGGAGTCAGATATATTTGTATTAGACTGTTTTTGGTCACCAATAACCTTGTGGTCGTGCGTACGAACGAGTTGTCTACTTAGGTTCAAAGGATATAAGAGCTAGTGGAATATTCGTTCCTTCAGTTTTTATTAAGGCACTGTCAGCTGCATTTTTACGAGTTCACCCCGGAGAAGCTAAAAAGGCTGGCCTTTCAGGGAAGAATACAATCTTTATACAGGTCCATGATAAGTAACCGTTTGGAAACACCGCCGGAGATATCTGATTTAATAAAGCGGTGTTGGATTGCCAACAACGGTATCTTGAGTTTTGTCGCATTTTACGCGGTGGAATCCCTTCTGACAGGAAAAAGCAGTAAGAAAACTTCTTCGCAACAACAAAGTATCAAGCTGATCGAAAAGAACATAGTCATCGACGTTTCGAGAAGCTCAATAATTACGCTATTTAATCATTAACTATAATCTTATCCTTTAAATTAGAAATTCTTACATTTTTATATTTATACACATATGTATATATATATATATATATATATATATATATATTTCATTACACAGAAATTTGTATCTAAATGTAATTTCCAAAATATACGATTTACCAAAAAAAAACAGTTCCTCCAGGTACTATATTGTAATTTAACTCAACTATAAAATATGTATTAATTTATATAATAAAATAGGTGACGTCCACAAAAAATAAGCGTAAATAATTTCAAACATTTTGTAAAAGCCTTAATGGAAAGGGCCTATTATAATGTTGAGGAATACATTCAGGACAAGGATGTGTGGAAATGGCTCTTGCTCTGCACTTGCAAAATCCCCTGGCTCCTGCTAATTTTACTTTATACTTAAATACTTTTGTGTATGCACATAAGTGCATACACAAAAGCATAATTCAAAAAAAGAAAAGACCGCAGTGTTTCTTGCCGATTCTTCTCTGGATAGGTCTGCTTTAGTGAACCGGTGGTAGTTTTTGACAATAAAATTGTGCAATAAGAGCTTAAAATAAGCATATATGGAAAAAAAATGAGTTTTGCTTTGAATACGTTTACTACTTACGTTTTTCGCAAAAATCCCTTGTTGTGAATTTGTATTGTTGAGTTTCCTGGCTGGATAAATGTTGCTAAATTAATATGATATTCCATAAATACTTTCATCCAGTATTTCTAGTAGTTAAAACACAAAGCTGACCATAAAAAGAACTCTTAATATTATTCTAACATATGTACATATGTATAATTATGAAAAATTGGTTAATATGCTACAACACGTAAAATATTTCTACAGGGAAGCATTTTGCCTGGCAGTACGATAACCGAGATAGGTTATTAAAAGAACTATGAATGTTGTCCACAAATTTCTTCCATAGAAATATGGATGGCAAATCCAAACAGATAAACTTTATTAGTGAAAGTGATGTAGGTATCAAAGTTAACTTCACTTATCTATTATGGTCTAGTTGTGGGTCTATTCCGAAAAACGACAAAACTTCAATCGTTACGTCCTTGCAATTAGAAACATTTCGAAGCTAACGTGCCAACTGAACATTGAATATTGGGCGCAATAACAGAATACGTTTTAAAGTTTATAGTTATTTACTTGTATGAAAACGTTTTAACCTGTACCAAGGACTGTCTTATTGATTCAGTAAGATTCTACTTTTCAAGAAAACAATTTTAGGATACTCATCCACTTATTCACTCCTCAGAGTGCGATTGTCGGATCGACAACGGCCTATTCCGATTCGAAAAGTTTTGTTTTTTAATTTTTTTTAAATTCTTACATGCATAACCGATTTATCGAAATCATACTTAAGCATTAGACAAGGTAAATACTAGTAAGAAATGGATGTTTCATTTCAAACATCTGAAATGTGGCGTACATTCACATGGAACACATCAGTTTAGCTGCAAGCGTTATGTCTACCACTAATAGAGTAAGCCTCTAGTTACCTCACTCTCCAGATGAAAGGCAAAGTTATATATAACTAGCTTTTCACCCGTGTCTTCTCGCTCGCGTTTAAGCCTTTAAATAAATATCTTTCTTAAAAAACTGCGTAAATTTTTATAGAAAGTTATTTTCAACCCTTTACAACACTTGTCCAATTAAAAAATAGCCTATGTCCTTTCTCAGACTCTAGACTATCTGTGTACCAAATTTCATTTCAGTCGGTTTCTTAGTAGTTTTGGCGTGATATCAAGATAGACAGACAGACAGAGTTACTTTCGCATTTATAATATTAGTATGGATTTTACTTTAAGAGGGCATTGGGAAGCCGTGGTGGAGCTGGTGTGCGTCCTTCATTCGAAATTCCCGTTTGCCACAGTAACATCACTACATATTTATACATATATGATATCGGCCATTATATATCTGTCAGAATGTGTACAAGCACGCCCTATAGGCAGTAATTATCAGTGGAGATCTTGCAGCTAAAATTGACACTCGATCGGAGGTCGCTAGTTCAATTCACAGAGCGTGCACCATTAAATTTCTCGCATAACCGACTTCTTGGCTTCTTCGAGATCACCGACTCATTAGAGACAGAGCGAGATGACAGGCTTATAACCCGTCAATTTATGGTGAATCGTGTTCAGGGAAATGTTTCTGTTTACCCCATATGAATGGAGTATCATTAAAGCATGATTCGTCACAGTGTGATGAGGAAACAAGCGTTATTGTCATAAGTCATTGCATGTGACTTATATATGATGACATTATTTTTTTTTTCACGGCTTGTTAACTGTAATATTTTTTATAGATCTAACATGCGTGAACTGGTTTGAAAAAATATTGAGTGCTTACGATGAAATGGTACATTTGTTTGCACAATTCACTTTATTATCATATAACCTGTCGAACTTGACACGTGTAATTAAAATAAGATTGTATTCCCTCCTAAACATGCAATTTGAGAAGCTTTTACCTATCGGAGCTTTATATATAATTAGTACATTCATTATTTATGTTGCGTTATATTTGTTTAATGAATTCTCGCTCAGTTGTATTGATCTAAATCTGTTTATCTAATCGATATGTTTAGTATCAAAAGCGAACTTTGTACTTTTTCCGTCATTAAAAGTGTTTATAATTAATAAAAACATGGTTATTAAACGAACAAGTGAACATTTCGAAATTGCCGCTGAAAGTAATCTCCGACTTTCGCCGTGCTGGGGCAACGATATTGATCCGCGCACGCCCCATTGCTGCGACGCAACGCAACCGCCTAAGTTTCGTGTGAATAGCGCGGGGAATGTATCGCGACTGGCGATGTGGCTCTGTTATGATATGATTTACAAGAAGCACTGAACACTGCAAGGGCGTATTCGGTACGACCGACTAGCGCACTCTCGTGAGAGATGTAAGAACAGATATCCGTTACTTATTCCCGGAGGTCCCGTACTATCGCTTTGCGCGATATACATTGCCCTTTTTGTGAGCGGCAAACGGTGGGCTTACAAACAGACTTTTCGATGGTACACGTAGTCGAGTGTATTGTTTGTGATCGTTTACGAACTATTGTGAGAGGCTGGGCCGGAGCTAGCGCGGCCTCGCGGCCCTCTTTGCGCCGCAACGCAAATCGTTGAAATCAAAACTTTCACGCTACGGAGCGCTACGAAGTTTTACGGCTACGAACTTCCTGCTACGGAACGGCCGTTGCGCCCCGCACTCGAAAGTTTGTTGTTGGAGCTTTTTTGTTTTGTCACTTTCCGTTATCAGTTGCGAGGAGTTAAGTTCATGCGTGCGCAACTCGCGATCCGCTTTAAGTTAGCTTCTACTGCAAAACTGTGTACTGCATTCGTAGGAGATTGAACATTGTGAGTATTCGTGTAATTTCCATTTTCGAATGCTTCTGTATAACAATATTCATACGGATAGTGCATTTATTCGTCGTTAAAGTCCGACTGCACAATAATCGCAGACCTTGAGTGCTGCGTTCAGCGTGTTACGTGTTGGGTATTTCCAACCACGCAATGGGCGGGAACTTTGTGATAGCGCTGTAAAAAGGTATTAATTCCAGTCTAAAACTCAACACCATGCATTACTAAGTGGCATGGAGTCGTTTATAGATAAAGCTATTGTTACCTAGCCGAATATAAAAGGTCTCTATCTGAGAATTTTCCTGTGAGCGCCGGTGCACATTATAATTCGGCTCCAAGCGACAAACAGGAACTGACGGTAGAGAACGCTCCAAACTAAGCATTTCAAAGCGTCCCCAGGGCTGGGCATCGTATGACCGGATGCCGAGTAAAATTCCTGCCTCGACACCACACGTCTCCACAGTCCATCGTATGGGCCGGCGAAGACTCGGCCCAAACCGATCGTAGCGTCGATACCTCGAAGGTATAACGTCACCACTATGCAGGCACCGGCGCTTTTGTTGCTCATGGAAACGAGTCGCAGGTGGGTGCTGCGTGCCGAGCTCTGCCGAGAGGCTCCGAACTGGCCCGATGGCCGAACGTCGTATCCGCCAAGCGCTCCGCCATTCGCCAGTTCGCGCTCGGCCACCGCTCAGCACGCTCGTGTCTGTGACGCCTGCTGTGACAAGTCCGACAGTTTGTTTTCGTATCGTGATCACCCGTGTTATGTTCTCGTATCGGAAATATGGTGTATCCCCATGAAGATGTGGAGTGATTTTCAGGTGAGCCCCTATAGCTATAGTTCGAGGTGTCGTGTCCACGAAATCCCGCCGTTTTTCGATGATGATATTGTCGATTCCTTTTTATTCGGTCCGACGGACTTGTTACTCAAACAGTTTTGAGTTTTAAAAGTTAATGCCAGTGTGGGATTTCGTGGACCGATTCGTGTTTAACGTTTTGGGAGTTCGATGAAGTTTCTTTGAGTGAGGTGTGTCTTGTAACTTTTTTGTTCGAGAAATATGTTGAAATTTTTATTTTTAATTATAACCCAATAAAAGTCTCTAGTAGAGACATAGGGGTACTGTAACCCTTTTCTTATTTCCTTTTCTTTGTTTAGTAAGTTCAGAAACTTTTCGCAACTTTTTAAGATTGATTACACAACTAAGATAAATTGACGGTACTTGGTAGATATTTAATGGCATAAGAGACTTGTTTGACGTATGAAAGAATAAAGTTGAAAGTTTTGATGAATTTACAATAACTTACATGTAACTTGAATAGAATATCTCAAAATTTTAAGTGCAGAGCATCACTTTAGGATTCCTTAATATCTTAGAAAAAACACTCGTTCACAATATTATATAGTTCTATTATGTTTTGCGAATACCTCCTTACCATATGTTACTACACTATTATTTAGCGATAAATAATTGTAAATTCACTAGCTAATTAAAAATGGGCTCTTGGCTTTGTCTTTTATACAATTAATTAAAAAAAAATTATGTCCGCCAACTTCGCGGTGGGATGCGCGCCTTTTTTCAAATCTGACATTTCTACGTTTCCGGCGACCTGTCAAACGTCATGTGATAGATAGAAGGGCGCGTACCGAGTTTTAAATCAAAGCGCTGTAGTCGCCTCGATAACTGCGTCGCTCGAGGCGAGCGAGAACCAACAGAAATAAGGCGTCGCGCACTCCCTCTCGCGCGTGTAGCGCCGTCCCTCTCGCGCGGCGGGTGTTTTTGTGCCGGAGCGGGTTTTTTGTGCGCGGCGCGAGGCTGCCGGCGCCGTTCGCTCGGCTCGCCGCACATTAATTATCGCCGAGTTGGCTCCAGCGCGAACGCACTTTACTTTCTATGTTGCTACGTTATTCCCTCGCTTAGAATTCGGCGGCGATGTTACGCAGCCCGCATCTCGCTGACGTTGGCGTCGATGATTAAGTTAAAGCTAATACGGTCGCTCGAGTTGTCGTCGTGAAAAATATTTCATTAATCATTTAAAAGGGTTTTTGCTGTTTAGGTTTTCAAAGGAGTGTTGCTATGGCAACAACTGGTTCCTCCGTGCAACCCCTATCATTGCCCGAATTAGGTTTATACTCTAGTAGTCGGCAAAAGAGCAATTTTGCCTTTGTTCAGTACAGTACAGTAACAGTACAGTAACAGCCTATACATGTCCCACTGCTGGGCAAAGGCCTCCTCTATATAGAGGGTATATTGCCTTTGTTCAAATGATTATAATTAATTTCCTCATTTATCGTGTCTGAAAAAGACATTTAAGATATCCATTATTTTGATTCTAATGAACATATCTAACAAAAGTCATGTATAAATAATGTAATGAAAATAATGAATAAATGTCTATTTGCTGCTGAAAATCATGTATAAACAATGTTAAGGATTTTTACTTCTCATGGATGGCTGCCATTTACATATTTACGCATAAGAGCCTGAATGCCCGACCTGAAAGGAACTCTACAAGTTTTGTGAGAAAACTTACATAAAATGGCACAATGATGTTATCTAAAAAAAAAAGGATGCAATAATTTCGCATGTTGCATTAAAATAATAGTTGTCTGTTTGGGTACTCGGATTATTCTAAATTTCATCGATCCGCTTTACACAAATAAATCTATTAGATCATCGTGGCTTAAATTACAAACTTCTCAACCATTTTGCTTATTAATCTTGCACATAAATTAAAATTATAGGCTCTACCTTGCGAGTACCGTAGTCCGCCTAAAAGCGCTGCCCCGGAAGGCGGGAAACTGTCAAACTCGGTAATGTGTTAGCCGCATCATATGTTTCGTGCAAATATTTACATCATAAACATGCCTCCTAAAACGAGTCACGTGCTTAACTGTTAGGCCCGTGCGTGTAGGCGGACTGGAGGGTGGGGCGGGGAGTTGAAGGGTGCACCGAGGAATGCGACTTGTTGCAGTCACGTGCATCCGTCAACTGGGACGCCGTTCTTGTAAAGATGTTGAAGCGATTTCGCGGGCCGCCTTGCAAAATTGGCCTTTATACTACTGAAACGTTTTTTCTTCTCAGAGGTTTGAGCTTTCCACCGGGATATTTGCGCGTATATAATGTTAAAATTTCATGAAAATAATGATATTTACATTGTTGTTGTACCTTGAGTCTGGTTTGATATTGGACATTGAAGAATTACCAACAGTCCAATATAAAGTTTTCTTATCTAAATTATAGATTATGCACGAAAACAAATCGGACGCTAAACATATTTACGTCGTGTTGAGAAATGTGGTAAATGTACACACATGTGGTGTTAAAACTCACTTGATAGGTGGGCAGCATATAAATAAGTCCGTTTGCAAATCGCTTTGCAGAAAGAGTAAGTAGAATCACATCGGCACGTAACGAGTACGGTGCGGAACCGAGAGCCGCGCGGTCTGCTTAATCCGGAACATGGCATTTAATTACGCCTAACGCCGTTAACAATCGACCACGTGTGGTGATTGTTAGTAAACAAATGAATGGATATTACAACCGCCGGCGATACGTCATCGAAGACACGCGCCACAATCATTTATGCTAACGAGCCTAATTATGTAAAGCGCGGGCACGTTTCGACATAACTCCACGAGCAATTACCGGCCTATTGTGAACGGGCGAACTTGAAAGCCATCGCGATATGGGGCATCGACATTGCGATGAATGGCGGGCGACACCTGTTTAGAAACGAGAAAAAAATGCCATGCTGGAAACATCAGGTGAACCGAATTGAATGCCGGCTCGCTTATACTTTTATTGCCCGCTCGTTCCGGTATGAATTGCCGCACTTAGATTTGTTTGTTTACGGTTTTTTAGTGGCGTCTGCGGTGGTTTCCGTTTGCAACGTCGCGTCGCGATAACGCTACCAACGTTAATGCATTCTTAGCGATCGGGCGCGATAATTTTTATCGACGTCTCTTCTTTTGAATGTTCATTACTCGAACTGCGCGTCCGAGCTATGTTCCCTATGTTATGATTACTCCAGTTGCTAATTAAATAAAAGTATAATTTTGAAATGCGTCGATAGCCACCACGCATGGTCGCGGCACAGACTACCACGAGACGAAATTGGAAATAAAACGTGACAGCATCCGTAAAATAAAATCGTGATAGCGTATTTTGCGGAAGTAACTACGGCCACTTGGCCGGCGTAAAGTAGACCTATCTATACTCATACGTTCCGTCTGGCGAGTGCGGTAACCGGTGAACTCTGAAAGGTTTCAACGTGCATGCAACCCTACGAGTGTAGTCGACGTCCACGACCGGTAATCCCGCCAACTGCCCGCTGAAAAAAGAAACGTAGTCGGGCACAGAGATCGGGGAATCCCGCGCGCGGTACGTCCCCATGCCGTCCCGCGACCCAATTATTTTGCGCAATAAAACGATATGCGGGTCGTTGAACCCGATCGGCACGAATGGCCCGCGCGAACGCTGCATCTGGGTAAACACGGCCGAGACACGCCGCCGCCGATAATTTATGTAAATCCACGTCATTGTATAAGACTGATGTTTTACGAGCGCTCTCTTTGGCGGTCAAGTTCGCCGCGCGGGTGGAAAGTTTGTCGATTGTCCGTTTCGGTAGCTCGTCTCGTGTCCATGTTTTACTGAGTTGTTTACCTAAAGGCCGGTTATGAACGCGACGCCTTACATGCTTACGCCGTCTGGTTGAGGCGGTCACTATGTTTATGTATTAATGTCATCCCACCTAAGTGGGGTCGGCACAGAATTGATTAGTGTGATTGGTTTTATATGACCGGGCAACTTGCCCGATATCAACCCTCCTTGGGAACAAACTCTTACATCTGGAACAATTTACTGTTTGTTGTTCAAATATTTTTGTCTTGTGAGCATCGAATAAACTAACTCCGGCGCTAAACCGATAGCTTAGCAACCGCGCATCCGAGTCATAGTTTGTACGAAGTGAATGTCATAGTTTGTAGAAGAATAGCGAGGGGTTCGATCCATTTGGATTATTGTCGGCCATCGGTCACAATGGGCTGCGATTACGTAAACCTTTCGCAGCAATAGGTCCGGCTATCTCACTCTTCAGCGTCAATATTTATAAATTCGGTGAGGCTGTTCTTACCGTCTGCGTCTGACGCGTCTGCGTTCCTTTGCCACAGATGAAAACAAGTAAAATAATAGATAGGCACGATCAGAAAACAGTTTAGCGGATAGTACGATAAACGCGTGAAACGTAAACACAACCCGTTTGTGAATCGTGTTTTACTACGGACGTCTCGCGTGGAAATCTCGTTTAGGTATAATTACAACGATAATGGCATTATTATTAATACCGCCGCGGATCTATTTCAAATGTGGGCGGCGCCATTAATCATTTTGTGAATGAACGGCCGCTATTATTACACGGCGACCGGTCAACGATATCATAATGGAGTAAACGTCACTTTATAATCATAAGCTCATAAATAAACACGGTGACGCGCGGCCGATCGGTCGGAAACGGCGAGGCCGGAACGGCCGCCCGCGCGGGCACGTGCTCTCCCGCGGCGCGTCAACTCGCGCGAATTATGTAACAATGTTTTGACATTCAACAACGGCGACACATTTAGCGGACGTTAAGTGGATCAATGAACTTGAGCGGGTGTCGGTTACGCAATGCGCCGTTTGAGGCGAGATTAATGCACGCGGGTTATGGCACGCGATACGTTTCGATTTGTGCTCGCTCTTATCCATGACGCGTGTTCGTTTGCTCGCCCTCCACGTCTGTTGGCCACCTGTGGCCGCCCGTGTGCATTACTTACACACGCCTCGGCCACCAATCTACTGTGAAATGTCGCATCTGATTCGTCTCGTGCAGACATCTATTCTTTCCGCTCACGCGATGAGGAGAGCGAACGTGTCTCACTATTAACTGCAAGTTTAGAGTTCAAGACGGAGGGGCGAAGGGAGTACGTCTTCACCCATTGACGGTTGAAGCGCCCCGCGACACTTTCACTGCTCCGCTATTGCAGTTACTACGCGCCTACCGTGCAGCGGGGGGCCGGCGGGGTGGCGCACCCCAATGCATTCACCCCTCGACGCCGCCTTGCGCAGGGCTCGCCAAACACAAGGGTGCGAGCTTCGCAAATTCAACGCTACAATTCTCTGTTCCGACGTTAACTTTTTAACGGCATTCCTTAGAACCGTACTTCAAAGATTCTTACTTCACTATCTTTCAAGCGTATGAATTACAGGCGATTGTTTTGCAAAACGGTCTGACAAGTTGCGGGTAGACCGCGACGAGGAGGGCCAATGTGCGCGCGAGGATATTGACCTTCGGTCGTTCGGATTGCTGCGTCTGTGACGGATGGCGCCCATAGAGATAATCTAACGGTCGCGCGTCAGCAATCAATCTATTAGCGTGCCTCGTCTAGACGGTGGGGCAATCCGAAGTGGGCCAGCGCGGCGGGGGCTCATATTTGCGTACACACGTGTGACAAGAGCCCGCTACGGAAGTTTGTAAACATCGGCGGCCTTGCTCCCCGGACGCGGTCCACGATAGCGACAGCTAGTCACGCACCTATATCGATACACTTTCCCGATCCGGGCCGATGAATGGAAACTAATGCATACCGCCGCACAGGGTTGTCGACTCTATTTTACGACTTTAAAAATATCTATTTTTGAATCTGCGATGAATACGTAGTTTTCTAGCCGTAACTTCACGTCATTTCGATGTAATGAGGGAGAAATATAGTGTCTAGATGAGTAAATGAGTAAAGGCTAACGATGAAACGTATTCATGCGATTATGTTAATCTTGAGGAAATATCGAATCAAATGATCTGATCTCGCGGACCGATTCTCCGTTCTTCCACCGTTCTCGCGTCTAATTAATCACACCGGTGCATTAATGGTCGTTTTGATCCGTTTACGCGAATGTGACGTAGCGGGGCGGTCTAACGGTAATTAGATCTATATTTAGAGCGGCTAGTGCGGCGGTCGGTCAGTGGGCGGGCGATCGAGGAGCCGAGCGGCCGCGGCTGATTGATGGCCGATAGATGGGCCGACATTGAACCCGTCCGGTGCAACCCGCCGCAAATACCCGCCGACTTCCGCCCGTGACGTCGCGCCCGTGACGTATCCCCCTCTGACGTAACGCTGACGTAACTGCTATGTTTACACTATAAAACTGTATTCATTGTTACGGCGTCGCCGCATTCACAGCTTATCTTTTATTGCTTCGCGCCTCGCGGGCGGTTTTGCTTTCGCGTCGATTACGAATCTTGGGATCGCCGTTACTGATGCTGTGATATTTCAACGCAGGCTTCCAGTTGGTATCGTGCGTTTATTATTCTTTTTAATTTCATGCGCGGTGAATGGAATTATTTAAAATCCTAATCTGTTCAGGAACGGTTCGGAGAAACCTCTTTGATGCTACGGTCGAATTCAAATGTGAGAATGAGCGTAATCGCAAGTCAAACGAATCACTTGTTTAGCGACACGTAAAAACCGTTGAAGTGGATAAAAGGCTGTTCAGTAATACTTAATATCGTAAAACAGCTCCGCCTCTGGCCCGGTGTAAGAGATTGTTGTTAGTCATTTAGGTAAAAAGCTCCCGAGACTAATCTTCTAAGTGCGTAGCGTCAACGGAGAGGTGGGGCGGGGTAGGTTAGCGGGCGGGGGAGACGTGGTTCATTAAAAATTCATTCTTATTTCGAAGCACCGCGCCGTAATCAGCCGCAAGGGGCGGGGGGTTTCAGCCCTTAGCTTTTCTCATTCTATTGGTGATTTATTGAAAACATACGTAACTTTGCAACATCTTAAAATATAGATGATGTAATTTCAGAAGGGGATAAATTGGCCCTTAACCTGATGTAAATTATTTTTCACTAAATATTTAAGACGAATGTTGGTGCAGTTTCATTGAGAATAGAGTACTATCTAAGGAAAAGTTTTCTTAATTTTATAATTATAGTAATGTAGTGCGGGTACGTTCGACATGTTGCTGGTGGTGGGTGGGGACGCTTCCTGCCTCAGCCCTAAGCTCGTCTTTTGATCTCCCCTACCATTAGCTATATTCGAGTATGATCCTCCAGTTTGAACTCGAAGAGATAGACCTGTGATCAAATAAATGAACGACTAGATCACAAACAGAAATGAACTTCCCCTAATATACCAAATTACATTATATCAATGATTTTTTCACAGAATATTTCGCTATTGAATTTGGTGTAGTAAACGTCTTTAACGAACCAATCTCAGGAATCTCGTCTCTAGTCGAGGGTTTTTAATGCAATTTTTTTATTAAAGTTGATTCACCACAAATGTGAATTATGATACACCTACAAAATTAACTCGTAGTAGTGGTGCAACTTCGACGTTACCCACCCACACACGACCTCTCTCATCCCGTCCGACCTCATCCCACCTTAATCTCCTATAGTACCCCTAGCGAGCTTATGACGTCACCACTTACACGTTTTCGACAACGTAGAGAAAATGACAGGGCATTTTCAAGCTACACTCGTATTTGCATAGTAATTGCATAAATACGAATCGACTATCAATTTGAAGCGATTGGGGGAATTTTACTGTAATGTTTTTTATTTAATATTAGAAACAATTATAATGAAATTGTATAGTAATTATTTTAAACCGGAGAAATAGAGAGACTGATCAAAGCGATTTTTTAATTGAATAATGACCCCGTGGCGCAGTTGCCACAAGGTCTTGGCTTCTGCGTCGGGGGCCGTGGCTTCGATTCCCACACGGGACAATTATTTGTGTGACCCACAGATGGTGTTTCGCATCTAAGTGTTTGTCCACGTGAAACTTATGTTTGTAAAACGGACTATGTAAGAAAAATTTATTTTTGTATTCTGTTATATTTCCTAGTATAGTTATTATTAATTGATTACTCCTTGCAGTATCTCCAGTGTTGAGGTAATGACATTATTAACCCACTTCAAAAAAGGAGGAGGTTTCTCAATTCGTTTTTTTTTTATGTGTGTTCGCGGAAAACTTTGTCGTTTATGAGCCGATTTAGATGATTCTTTTTTTGTCGGAAAGGTGATATCCCAAGGTTAGTACCATGGTACCATGGTAAGGAAACCCGGGTCTGACGATGGCATCCCAGAGAAATCGATGGCAATCATTGAATGTTATATTTATTAACAACGTTTTTAATTTTCTGATTGATATCGGTTTTTATTGTTAAAAATTATACTTGTTCATATATTGTAAAGCGAAATATTTTGAAGTTTGTTTGTGTAATAAATACTATCAGTGACAGAACGATTGTGATTGTTTACTGGAGATTTTTATACATAATTTGTCGCAATAGACCCAATAACTTTGTTGCAATTGGGAAATTTGTGCTATTAAGAGTAACATCTTCAACCCTTGGGTTCATAAAGATGTCATTCGTTTAAGACTTCTTCGCAACAGATTTGGCTTCTTAATTTTTTTTTACAATTATGTTTAACCGTTTCAAGATTTTCTTTAAATTTTTTTTTATTTCTCTTTTTTGTTATTCTAAGTGACATGACATGTCCAGTTGTACCAGCCATCTCACTTCATAAAAAAAATCCTTTAGTTATCTATGCGAAATTAATTTCTAATATTAGATGAAAAGTCGTTAATACAACTTGGGGTTCTAACTCGGGTACATAAAGATAGTATAAAATTACTTCGCTCTATGATTGTTCCGTGAAACCATGACTATGTCATTGATAGCAAATGGATTGTGCATTTATTATTATTTTTTTTCCATTTCCGATATTTGTCGGATTAAGAGAAATCTTTTACGGTAATCATGTTTGTACATCAATATCGAGTTGGAAAAATATGGGCTGCTCCTATGGCTGCGAACGACCTTAGAGAACCTAACTGTTCATTTGGTTATGTCATGCGATCATCGCGAACAATAGCGATTTCTTAATAGACGGTAACAATCGGTAAAGCAATGTCCATTGTCTTCGGCGGCCGCTGGCAGGTGCGTCGCTTCTGGAATCTTATTCAGCGCCAGTAACGAGCAGCAAGCGTCCCATATTCCGTAATAAGGCGCCCGTATTGCAATTCTCAGATCCCTCGCCTATTACCCGCCCGTGATGATTTGAAGCCATCACAAGTAGTACAGAACTGGCGGCGGAGATGACGAAGCGCGCAGAGGTATGCGCGACTTAGGTCATTCTTCTTTGTTGCGAGCGTGACGTGAGTCGGGAGGAGCGAATAGAAAAAATATTATGAAAACATCGAGACGTCTGCACAAGAGCGAGACATTCCGATTTCAATTTCTGGATTCCAAATTCAAAAGCTCCAGATAACGATCCGTTCGGCGCGAACTGTTCTAAATTGAAGCGAAGAAGTTATTCGATCTATATTATGCGTATGTATATACAAAACGAAATACTCTGATTAGAAATTCTAGATTCCAATTTCAAAAGCACGTTCATCGCGAATTAGTTGGGAGAAGTGGCGATGAAATATAAAAGGGTGTTTAAAGAATAGAATCGACTTGAGCTGCGAGCGCTTGAGCGGAGCTTGAGAGGAGAGGTGACGAAATATTATGAAACTTGTTGATTCCACATTTAAAAGTCGAAATGGCATTGAACTGATATAACATACAGTCGACACGAGCTGTAAAGAAATTAAAATATCTGAAAAGGACTGAACATTCGCATTTGAAATTTCCATGGGTTCCAAATTCAAAAGTCCGAGCTAGGTTCGGCGCAGACGGCGACGGGCGTTGGGCAAGCGAACGTGTCGGGGGAGGCCGCGGCGTATCGGGCCGTTTCTCGGCGCGGTGTCGCAACCGGCCGTGTAGTAAGACTGGCAGCAGTGCATTGCGGGGAGCGGCCGTCGCCCGGCCGTCACGCGTGCGTTGCGCGTGTGTGCGTGACGTCGACGCGCCACTTTCTCCGTACTTTCGTCGTTCGCGCTAAAAAACGCCGCCCGATTAGACATCTAATTCCAATACGTCGAGCACCGTCGCGCTAGGCGTCGAGTTGTTGAGCCGGGTTGGATTAAATACTTTTTTTTACATTAGTCAAGATACCGTAATAATTACGAGCGTGTTAGATTATGTAGTCGTTTAAAACTATTCTAAGCTCTTTGCGTGGTCTATTAAGCGAGACGCCGTGCCAAAAACTACACCGTACGAATATAGAATACTCGAGACCCAAAAATTACAGCGCTAATTCGCGGCGAAACGTCGAACAAGTAAAATCCATTTGTTGCTAGCGCGCGCCTGTCTAATTAAGCTCTGTCATAGACTCTTCGAAGGCTCTATTACGGGCCGCCTCCGAACTTGTAGCGGGCCTCGGCGCGCTCAATCCCGATGCGGGGTGGGGCAAACTGTGCCTTACGGGCGTGGCTTAGGGTCTGTTTTGCAGGAGCGGGGAGCGTGTCGCTCGGTGTGACAATTACGGCCGAGCCCGCCCTTGCGCCGCCGCAATCGATAGGCCTAGGGCGGGGTGCGGCGGGGGAGCGGGGGGGGGGGGCGTCATTACTTATGCAAAGCGGCAGCAGCGGCGGTCGCTCGTTACCGCTGCAGATGGCCACCACTGATATGGACATCAACCCCATCGATTGCACCAAAAACCCATACCTTAAATGAGGAACCTGCCTTGTGTACCCAGCGAACGAAATAACACTTTCGCAACGTACACCATTGTCCCAGTTAGGGTCCGTTACAATGTGACGCGGTCCTAATCCGCGAGTCCGCTCGGCCTGGCGGGACCCCTAATTCGGGGGGCGGCCTTTGTGCTCTCCCCCTGGCTCTGCTGTTGGGGTCGTGGCGCCTTTCATGCCCCGGACGCCCGTTGCAATACGAATCTATTGCTCAACCGAGAACGACAATGTCGCTTAATTATACGCACCGCAGATAAAACGAGTTTTCTAAGACTCTAAATGAAAATAGACTATTGAATACAATCTGAATAGAACCGTTTTTTAATTTACACAAACTGATAAATAAATAATCACTCGCGATTAGACGTGAAATGAAAGCACCGGCGCTTAATTGACACGAGAATCGGATACAAACTGCGCGGTGGGAGAAAAAGTAAAGCCAGTTTTGTCGGTTTTATAAACGTGACGCAAATGAAACGCTATGAAAGGGGAATCCGCGCTGAAAAATGCCTAAGCCTGGATTCTATTCTGCTCCCGCTCATGTTGGGGCCGCTAAAAAGGTCGCGATAAGTTTGCGCGCGAAAATCCGTTCCCGCGCTTTGTCCCCACTAGGGGTTAGGGGCTGTTCACTCCCCCGTAGTACATACGCCCAGGGCTGCCTCGGATGCTTGTCTTTCTCATTAATTGCAACCGCTCCGGGTCTCGTTCAACGTTTTTGTATCAACCCTACACTGTTGACATACTTGTTTTGTGTCGATGGTAAAATGTTGAAGAGAACGAGTAATAAACATTTTTTTAAATCTTTTATACGTTCCTATATATATTTATCTATTCCCAGAAGTCTTTTATCGCGTTTAGTTTTAAATTGTGCGAAATTCAATTATCGTGTTTTCCTTTTTTATTTAGTAATTTATTCTGCCAGGAATTTTACCAAGCAACCTTCTATTTATATAATACTAGCTGCTGTCCGCGACTACGTCTGCGTAAAATAGGCTGAAGACGTAACATTCAGATATACATAAAATATGTATATAAATTATAGCCTATGTCTTATTCTGATGTATAAGCTATAGTATTGTCAATTTTCATTAAAATCCATTCAGTAGTATTTGCGTGAAAGAGTAACAAACATCCATTCATACATACAAACTTTCGCCTTTATAATATTAGTAAGGCCTAGCAAACCCAACAGACGTTGATCTGTACACGCGACTTAAAACCGACAACAACTTATAAATTAAGAAAAAAAAACAAAAAACAACGAATTGTGAAACTAAACCATTCTCAAATCTACCTGAAGACAAACAAAACATTTCATTAATATCGGTCCCGCCATTTAGGAGAAGTTCAATGAACAACGAAAACAAAAGAATTATATACCTATATAAAGAAGAATTTGCAACGGAACTCAGTTGTAAAAAGATCTTCGTCGGAGAATACACATCTCTACTTCTCCGATGCCCTTTTCAGTTCTGTCCATTTACGAGACATAATTCTTTTTTAATTACTTCGCGGACTTCAAAAAATTGCATTTAACTGCAGTTAGGTTTAACGTTGCGCTGATTGATTTTATGTGATTTAATTGTCACATTTTCTGTTATATAGGTATTTGTGTTCGTATTCGCATGTTAGTTACTGTGGGTATATGTATTCATGTACGTATATTTTTATAGTTTAATTACGAGTACACTTGATTTACCCAATTACTTTTCTGCTTATATAATGACGCATGGTATTAATATATTGCACAATAAAGTGTAGAGTAATAAGTAAATAACATAAACATACAAATTGTCTAATTTTCAAGTGGTACGTTTGTAAATTGAATATCGCAAATGATGCTATTCTAGATAATATCATTGGTCATCTCTGTGTATGGCAGTATTAATTGATCTTGAAATCTTTTTTTTAAATGGAAAGTTGGTAAGCTAGCTGGTGGTTCACCTGATGTTAAGTGATAACCGTCGCCCATGGACATTTACAACACCCGTAGGGTTGCAGATGCGTTGCCACGTTTCAATAAAGTGGGCTCCGGCTACCCAACACAAACCACCAAGTAGAAACTTCACGCCGGTCTTCGCCGGTGAGGTAGTACTTGTACTTCCCAGGTCGGACCTGCCTATTCGTGCAACAACGAAGGCTATTGCCTGATCGTTAACCGAAAAAACTTAAATCAACAACAAATTTGTAAGCGTACCTATTACGAAAAAACTTATTTTTGGACGTAGGTAAATTAAATGTACAGTTGTACGTACATATGTTTACGTCTCACTGCGGGGTTTCGAACGGTTCGGCGTCGTTCCGTCTGTAGTACATAATATTCAATCGCGTTTATCACGTCTGTATTAAATATTTGCGATTATCAATGTTTTCTTACGTGAAATTAAACAATTAGTCACCGCTGTTTATTGGTTTATTTAAAGATTTACGTTATTTTATTAAATTAAAAAAAATGATTATTTCATTAAATTTTTTTAGAAAAAGTACGAAAAGATTGTCGCCGCTGTGGGAATCGAACCCACGTCTTCGGCATTCGCGGCCTGACGCTCTAGCCACTGAGCTAAAACGCTGATTGCCACACCGACGGAAATCTTAACGTCTTTTATCTACATTGTTTTTTAGCATTAGATTTTAAGCACTTCAAATGCTGCGGCTGCCGTTGTGCGAGCTTCGCGGAGAAACTACTGGATAGATTCCAATTAATTCTTGTAAGTTTTATTTCTTAGACACCCACCACTTAGGCCCTTGTCTAAAAAATGTTGTGATATTTTCAATGAAAAGTTATTTTTAGAAAAAATGGCTTTATATGCACTACAATTTTAGTAATGTGTAGTCGCGGGTGTCGGCTAGTGTCATGTAAAATATAGATATAACTTAGATTTACCTAGCGCGCCGGTATATTAACAATGATGCAGTACAAAGCCTGGACAACTTATAAACTTTGCAAAGCTTGTCTGATAAACAAAGTCATAGATGGTCCTTTTTCGTAAACAAATATTATAAACATATAAACAACATAACAGATAACATACGTTTCCCCCCATAATATTTATCCAACAGTGTACATCGTACTTGCACCATCAGGCGCAAGAGACTCACTATCCACTATGCAAATCGGTTCGCAGTCGGAATAGAAGTAGTTTTAAAGTGAAACATTTGGTGTGCATTACGATTACGGGTAAAGTCGCGTCGGAGCGGCAGTATGGAGCTGCCAGCGACGCACGGTCTCTTATCACGGCCCGTTATCAGTCTTCAAGGTGACGGCCCGATGTAGCTGATTGGCGCGGAGATACGCCGCCAATTATTAAAGTAGGCATTACACAATCGCATTTTGGTTATTTTACGGGCGAGATCGATTGCACGTGGATATTGTTTTTGCCAGTTCGCCGGTCCTTGTGGTTTTGCGATTTTAGACCTTAAGACTTGCCTAAAATTTTATTATTAAATTGTATTTAATAATAATAATAATAATAAATGTTTAGGACACATTTGTACACAACATTTTCTAGTCCCAAACTAAGCAAAGCTTGTACTATGGGTACTAGAAAACTGATAAACATACTTAAACATACTTTTCTTTTGTAAATAAATACATATTATACATATAGAAACACCCAGACACTAGAAAAACACCATGTTCATCACACAATATTTTTCCAGTAGTGAGGATCGAACCCACACCCTCTGGCGCAGGAGGCAGGTACACTACCCACTACGCCATTCGGGTCGTCAATTTCTTTTTATTGTAAATAATTTTCATTTCTTTATGTACCAAATATACTTTTCTTTCTTTCTAAAGGCGCTCCTTTATTATCCGTTGACTTCTTTTAATATTTATCAAAGGCAAAGTTTGCTGTTAAAGCCAAATCTTTAGGCAAGAGTTCGATTCTTGTGTAGTACCATTTTGTAACACGTCGTTAACTGTATTCCGTATATGCTTTGGTATCGAATTATTTTGTTAAATATTGTTTAACTGATAATGTAGTAACATAGCAACATAAATATGTTGCCACCGTGGCATTGATCCATAGTTAGCTACTTTATTCATCGCTTCAACAACAAATGAATGAAAATACCTTTCAATTGTTTGTTACTTTCATTATTGTAAAGATGTCGTAACAATGCTATTTAGACAAATATTTCAAATAGGTTTCCCTGTCGCTGAACGAAGTTATTTCAACCGATATCATCGCGAATGAGAAACGTAAACACGCGAGTTTCGTTGGATTGAACGCCACGAAAAAAGACGCGCGAAAACTTCCGCGGTTTGCGCGGGAAACGGCGCGGCAATTATGTTATATCGACGGAGACCACGTGCTCGGTTGACGTTAACAAAGTTTCCCGATGCGAGAAACTTTGTGACATGTGAGCGGAGGATACTTACAATATGCGGCCCCGCGCCCCGGCCTCCGTGAGTCAGCGGCGCCCCACGACGTCGCCCCGTCTGCCCCCATGGAAAATTTATACCCACCCTCCTCCCAAGGATATTATTATTCCGCTGCCGATCAAAATCAACCCTATCCTCAAAACCAAACGGGCGATTTTCCCACGACGCTGAGCGGAAAGACAAAGAATACTCGGCAACTCTAGCGAAAACGAACCGTAAGTCCATTGGGATATAGTTAGTAATTTATGAGGCGCGCCAGCTCACGTGCTACGAAACGCAGCTGTGACGTCACGGGGTTCGTAGGCCGTCAGGGGTGTGCTGCCTACGCTGAGACGCCTAAAAATATCCATCTCGAACCCCATCTGATTCTGATTACATTTAATATTTTTTATCACGTATTAGTAATCATTTCATACCCGTGCGTCGTGCACATGCACGAATCTAGTTCATCGCAACCCTAACGTAGAGCCAGCTAGAGTTTTAGGAGTACAGACGCGCGGCGGGGACAACGCCGGTCTGAGTCACCCTTGATTCCCTGACTGGCACGATGTTTCGCGTCTCGAGAGCGTGTGCTCTCATCTCCTTAATTCGTCCTTCGCCGCAGCCCCCCATTCCCCCGGCGGGTGTGGGTGCTCGCTCTCTTGTTAAGCTCGCCTCCCTTATTTATGCCCGGCTGGGGAGGCGGGCGGGGCCGCGGGGGGAGCTCTATCGACGTTCCCGCACGCCCCGTCCATGTGCTGGTGAATTAGGAGCGAGTCGGCTCCCATTTCGCTTTAAAGCCGCCACGCTCGTGTGCCTTTCGGCTCTGCACTCGATTATACACCCTAAGCTAGTGCTCGTAAGGTACGAAATGGTGACGGCGGGCTACACTCCCGCTTCCAGTGTTTTATAACTTAGGCGAGGGCGAGGCGGTAGGGGTTTTTCTGAGTGGGACTTTTTTGACGTGAGCTTTTTTTATGTTTCATTCGCTTAGGGCACGCCAAGATAACAACGTGGTGCTGAGGGTGGAAAAGTGCTAGAAGTAGCGACCTGCGAATGTTTGTTATTAGAGTAACATTAATGCTCTGTTAACAAAAACTTGATTCGGTGAAGAGATAACAGTGATGTGATAAACAGCAAAACATTTTTTTCCCTTATCATTGGCACTCGGAGCTCTAACGCTGCTATAGAGATAAGCGAGGCGTAATAATCCCGGGCTCCATAGTAAGAGCATCGGTGGGTTGGGGGGTCGATTCTACGCACAGCGTCTTCAGAGAAAGTGAAATTTAGCCCAAGTTCGGTGAAATACAACGGCGCCACCTCCGGCCGCCCCGCCCGCGGGGTGGCTGTCGGCGAACCCGTCTTACAACAATTAATTTTATTCGCTCGCAAGTTTTCTACTTGCGCCAAAGGGGCAACTTCTCTTGCGCCGATTCGACAGCCCCGTGTTGCTGAAACTGCGCGATTTAACAATGCCGATCCCGTGGTGGATGTCACCGTAGCCGCAGGTGAGATGGGGCGAGCCGGTGGCGGTTGAACGACCTTTGTGAAGGTGTCGCTTTCGGGCAGGCTATCCGGTGGGGGGAGGGGGCTGCGCAGCCCCGGCGGTCGCCCGGCAACGCAACTGGGTCACTCCGGGCCGCCACCGCCTACCAATTACGCGCACGCTCGTTACCGGACACGCGTTTTTCGATCGCATCCATATTTAATTGGGCATCGCCGCTCTGGAAATGCTCTGTGTAATGTATATCCCGAACGATTCGCTCCGCGTGGCTCGTACGCCGATCTTTTTCAAGTCATAAGACCGTCCGGAGTATGGCGCTTATGAGCTTAGACGTAAGCCATATCGCGGTTTCCGTAGGCCGTGACTTGTTGCACGATGCACCGAGGGCCGGGCGTAGGGCGCGGGTGGTGGGGGGCACGGTTCTATTCAATGGACGAGATGTCGCGGCGACACGAGTATGGAGATCCCGTCATTGATAAGCCTGACCTCGCCCTTATCACACATGCCCCGCGCACTCCCGTCGTGTTACACACGCCCTTAAACTATGCTGTATCGCTTAACCCGATTATGGTTGAATACGGTTTATTTATTGTTCATCTTCTGACTTAAATTTCGCCCGCGCTCTCTAATTGTGTTATTTCACAATAACATACTTTTTACTCGGACCGTTCAGTATTTCACATTCGGAAGTTTTAGTTGTAAGGACACAAGCATTCAGATATTTGAAGAAGCTGCTTATTCTTCGGACCCATACCAAATCATGGAAACACATTTTTCTTTCCGACACACGGTCCGAAGCACAACTACGAGTTTGTCTCCGACACTGCACACGTTTTTCCGTGCTTACCTTCGTCATCCACCAGTTTGTCAAGTGTGCAGCGTAGAACGCCACACAAAATAGGACAATGTGTGCATAACTATCGACTTCAGCCTTGACATTGGTCGCGCCGCCGAAACGCGCGGAACCATCTCCGGCGCACAATCGCCGCCGATGAATGGGCGCATTAGCGGGCCGTAGTCATTACGCGGCCGCCATTAATCACTGCAACAATCGGGGCCCGATATCTCGGCTATTTACGAACGGGGAGCACGTGCTCCGGGCGTACTACGCGGGTGTATTGACCCATTTAGATAGGTCGACCTTCGCGCGGCCATTGTGAGCGGCGAGCATAAAAATAACGTTTTATTGAGCGCGTACCGCTCGTCTCCGGCGGACAGCTGATGGGACGTGACAATTTTATTTTATCCCCCCCCACGCCTTCCGGGGATGTCTGTGACGTCATCCGGCACGCCCCCGGATTTATCAAGGCGCCTTCGGGTGATTTATCGCCTCCGACGTGTCTGTTGAACTTGCCGCCTTGAACCGACACTTGACTTTCTGACACTAGTTTGCATTACGCGTAGATCTTTCCAAGATCGCCGTGGCTTAGCTTAACTCTATAGCGGCGGTCTATTCAGTCAAGGCAACTTAGTACGTTCGAAGCACTCTTACCGTAAGAACTGCGTAAGGTATGACAATACTAATACAGCTGTTAAAAACATCGATATTGCATGAATATTTCATAACACCAGTGCGGAGTGGTACACGCAGTACTTAATTCACCGAACAAATGTTTCCATCTCGAACGTTGCTCGAATTTGTACCGTTGGCACTGCGAGCGCTCGAAGGCGACGCGAGAAATCCGAGCGAGCGGCGTCCGACATTCCTGGGCCGTCATTCGCCGCCCGTTCGGGGAAGCGAGTGCGTCACCCGCGACAAAAACTACAATTTTCCCTTTCATTGCATCGGGCAAGGCGCACAACCGCGTCCCGCACGCGCCAACGCGCTTTGTAAACAACACTTTTCGGGAATTCCCTTCGCTTTTTATGCGGGAACGCATTCCTGAGGGATTCCTTTTGTTTGCCCGCGCGCGGTCCGCTCGCCCGTCTTTTGTGTTAGTTATGCCTTCGCATTTTATGCCGTACACGTGATGCCTCCTAACTGTATTTACTCTCCTTTTGTGTGGCTTTAGTGTCGCGTCTATTCATGATCCAGACGTCATTAGCCCAATAACAAATATCCGTTACGTTTTTATGGTGGTTCTTATAGCTTTATACATTAGCAATATGTAACGTCCTTTATAATTTTTTCTTTGACGCAGAGTGAGTATCTAAGAAGTCGAGATTACCGCACCATCAAGGTTCGCCTCGCCAACTCGAGCATTTTCTCGGTCTCTGTGAATAGTATAAAAATGAAATTCGTCCCGCCGACTTTCAACAACTCGGGCATGCTCTCGGTCTCTGTGAAAATATAAGAACGCATTTCGGCCCGCCGAATTGAATCTGATCGAGCGCGGGCGTGAAATAAAAAGCTCACAGAAGCTGCGCGCGGGCGACCGAACAGGATGTGGGACTGGTCCGCGCACACCGCTCTGCGCGCGTGTGCACGCGCACGCACACGCGCGCGTTCGGCCTCGCTCGCCGCTCGCCGCTCACGGAAATGTGCGTGCCAACGGGCCGACCGGGTTGCCAGCTCGCAGCGAGCGAATGACGGACGCCGACGCGGTGACGCGGTGGCGGCGTGTCCGGAACGCCCTGTTCCTATTTTGATTATTTTTTTTCTTCATACGTACTTTCACACTGCCAACCTACGTCATGTACTAAAAGATAGAGTAATGACAAGTTGAGACGCCTCGATCCAACTCTTCAAACTTATCCCCTTAAAATTTAAGCCCATTCTTTTAATAGTTGGCAACGCCTTGATAATTCATCAGGTGTTGTAGATGTCCATCGGTGGCTTTAATCACTTGAGATAAGGTGAACTAGATCGCTTACCAACTTTTCATTTAAAAAAAACTCTTTAGTATTTTCTTTTTACTAACAACCCACAAATGTACAGTTTACTGATGATTAACTAGAATTGAAAGATGATTTTCTCGATTTTTCAATATTCCGATTTTGTACGCATGTTATTCAATTTACACACATAATTTTTCACACTGATTATACAAAAATAAATAATTATTTTACTTAAAAACTATTTGAAAGATTAAATAACCGGACAGTCCAAAAGATACACGTCTTCATGGCCACTTTGCCGCTGCCTTGGCGTTCGCTTCGCAAACAATCCAACGTCCAAATTCGACCGCCGCCTTTTTACTTCGTATCTTTGCACAATTTAAAAATGACTTCAAATTAATAAAAAAATAAGCACCGTAAAATGTTAAAAAAACCTACTCTACACAAAACCTAACTCTACGTGAAGCTGAATCTTAATCGAAAGTCAACTAACGCAGTAAAATCATACGAAAATTTGTCCCTAACAAATTTCGCTCGGGCGAGAAGTCCATCGATATAATATAGTCCATAGGAATGAATAAAAAACCGCAAGTAACCCAGAGGGCATTATCGGCACTAAACCTCTTTAATCTAAAAACTATTAACAACTAAAACGAACAGGTCCGTGGAACACCCCCTGGCCGAATTAATGAAATTGCCCGAGCACCGATCACGTGCTCTATTGTGCCGAAAGGAGCGTTAATGGTTAATCGGTCATTCAATCGGCGCCTCGAATTCGATATAGCGGATTAACGACACCTCTTCACGGTTTGCAGATTGTGAATGAATGAACGACAAAAAAAATACTATGCCAACCGTTTTGTAGTAAAATCACTCGCACACGTCTATTATGATACTCAATAGTCGTTTTCCTTGCAAAGAGCGCGCAAAAATATAAAAACGCATAGAACTACAAGCCGATGCGAATACTTATTCTGCGACGCTTTGCTATAAAGTCAGTATCAGAACGACGTTGTGTAGTTAGGAACGTAAATATCAAGAGTCAAGAACGCCTCACAAAGCACCAGAAGCACTGGCTTCCGACAACAATTTTCCAATGGAACATTCCTATGCTCTGTTGGCGCTAAGGAGACTGCAAGCGCGTTGACGAGTTTTTATTTCCTTATATATGCCTACAGAGATAAAATCAACTCTATTCTTTATTAAAGTGTGATTTCTTTTCGGCGGAACATCCTTCCTAAAGTCGTTTAGCTCTACTGCGGCAGTGTTCTCTCGTATACCCCAACCGAATAATGCAGAGCTGCACCCCTGCTATCTACCCTGTTTTATAGTTCGTTGTAATACGTTTCATCGTCGAGCGTAGGTAGCTTGTAGCGCTAGATAGAAGCTACGCGATGTTATTATATCGGACCGCTGTGTGAGTGCACGTCCGACGGGCGAGCACACAGGCACGACGCCCCTCGCATTCCCCGCTCCCCCTCCCTTCCCCGCCGCAGCCCGCCTTCTGGCCTGTACTCGCTCGACAACGACACTGTACGGGCACGGCTAAGCGCTATGAGGCAATGCCGTGCCGCCATCAATTCGCTTCTCACAATGCCATAGAAAGCCCCCGCTCGACTCTAAAACTTTTCCTACCATGTCGCGAACGTTGCGCCGCTACGTCAAACCCGACCCAACGAACACGACTCCGTAGGCGATAGAACCCGCATAGGTAGAATTCTTTACGACAGTCATTTTGTATAAGTCTGCGCTGGCAGCGAGCTACGGTTATAAAACGCCACATTGGTAGGTAGCTATCCGACGCTGGCGATAAAATAAACGTCGGACGTTTCCAAGTTTCGAGCGGAGAGAACGAGCGACGCGCTGCGCATCAGAAAAAGAACTTTACGACAAGATTAGAAAGAGCGAGCGGGACGGCAACGCCGCGCGGCCACGTTCCAACTGGCGGTGCGGCAACGCTGCGCGCCAACGTCATTTACTAAATTTATTTTCATGAGCGCTAGCGCTGGCGACACCGCTACATACGTGCGGCCGCTCGCCGCGTGATAGCGACGAAACCTCGTGGAATCGTCTATTTCTGCATATTGGAGCTCGCCGCGCGCAGCTGTAATTTAAGTTTTGAACGCTAACAGGGTCGTCCAGTCGCTCGCGAGCGCACAATGGAGCGGCGAAGTTTTCCTCGCACCGATAAAGGGTGACGCAAAGTGATTATTTGCAGCGTTGCGATGAGTGGCCGCTGAGTCAACGCGGCAGCGGCGGCCGCTTTGCAACTGCATGCACCTCGTTTCTTATTGCGCTACTCCATTCGTGTAACGGCTAGGAATTGCATTCGCGTTTGTGGTAAATTTCAATCAGATAAGGCGAAAAGTGGACCACGGACTTTAAAGTATTTTTGTAAACTTTTAGTACCTATTTAAGAAATGGCTACAATACTACCGTAATACGAGACCTAGAGACAGAGTTCTGTGAAGACGGGTGTCTCACCTAATTGTCACGGCAGGTGCAAAGGCATCTGCCTGGCGTTGGACTCGGCCTGTTGACTATTTCATTTTTTACCTCGCCCTCGCACGGCTCGCGACGTCCAAAGGCATACGTTGCGGGGCAAATTGCAAAATAGTTTCACGCGATTGAACCAAACGAGCAATGTAGCGGCAAGTTTGCGAATTGAAGGTTTTAAGGGAATGTGGACACGCGAACGGCTGCCTGCAGATCCGTCATTTCATTAGCGCAGTATAGTTGGGCGAAATGCAGCTGGTATCATGTTAGGGTATATCGTTTTTTAACTTGAGCAAGTAGTACCCTCCTAACATGTATTGCTATAAATAATAAGCAATTCTTTAAAACCCACACCTAGACACTGTTTGTTTTTTCATTGTATATCGCTGTAGTCTTTGTATACAGCCATCCATTTTTATCAGAGACGCGTTGCAAAAGCAACCTTCAGTAATGAACGTTATCACGAAATTTTATACATATTATTCGATTGCAAGTTCAAGATTATTACAAAAACTTATTTGTAATCAAATGATATGATATAATAACATTAGTACATAAGCATAACGCTTACCAATTAATAAAAAAAAGAATTACTTTAAGGAATTTTGTTATAAGTAATATTTCACGTTGAAATAATCTCTTTTATTTGTTTAATTAAACTAATTTTAAATTAACTTCTATTAACCATAACTAAATAACAGTTAAGGATGACTACTAAACATGATGTTGCTGTCAGCTCTGCAGAAAAAAAGGTTTTCTATCTGATTTGAATTGAATCAAATTGAATTGTCAGCCACCTATGAATTTCTTCGGCAGTTTTGACAGGGCGATAATCGAGTTATTGTGTTATTGTTAATAAACCGCACGTTTCAAGTGGCTGCTGTTTTGGCTTTTGTTTCAAACATTGGTGGGGTCGGTAGTTCGAAAAAAATTGATCCATGCGCCCAGGTAAAGGGATCTCGCGTTTACGTTTCGTTCGTCATTATCTATTTCGGCGTGGACCCCGGACCCTAGGGTCCCGGTCTTTTGTGCGGCGAACCTTTTTCGGGCGAAGAATGCATCAGGCGGGCATCCGTAAATCCAACAGTCGCATTGCGGGGCACGAAGCTCTACCTGGAACCCTTAGGGACGGGGTTGCTCCACGGGAACATATTGTAGCCGAAAAAACGGCGAGGGTCGTGACGGACAAAAGCGGGCGGCTCAGGTACCTACTAGTCGGCGAGGTTTCAGTCTATACCGACGTTTGATTCTCACGTATCCGTCTTTGTATGATTCGGTTGCGTTTTAATAGTAGCGTTTCGTAGACGATTGTTGTCTAGGTTCATACTTGAATTAGTTGAATGGGGGGGATTTAAAGTAGACAACATTTAAATTTAGAACGGGACGATTTAGTTTTCTTAAAACAATACGCTAACTATTTGAAATGTTTGTGGGACACTTGTTGAATATTTTGATGTGCTTTGTCGTCTTTTTGAGTAGTAGGACGCGTTGGCAGGAATTTGAGCTCAAGTTTTATAACGCTCGACGTTGGCCGGTGGCGGGCACGTGTGGCTTACGGTACTTGCGTGTCCCGCCGCGTGTGGGTCGCCTTGCACTGCGCCCGGTTACCGCTCCACGTTCGCTCTTTCCACAATCCATGTTTCAGTTAGGTTTTAGTGTGGTGTTGTATGTATGCCATTTTATTATATAACGCGCCAGTTAACTCGGTACGATTTCGCTAAATAGCGGACGACTTTTCCTCCACTGTAATCCTTTGAATAAATGTAAAACGCAACATCTGCACATTGCATAACTCTGCATCAATAAAAATGTAAAAAACGTATGATTCGATTTTAGAAATAGGCTTTTAGTGCTCTGGTGTGGTCTGTGTCCTGTGGACGAATATAACAAGGTGGCGCGTTGCGCATTTGCAGGGCTCTGGCGGGGGGTGCGGCGGCAAGCGGCGCGCCGGGTCCCCGTGCGAGGGCGGCGGGAAGGTCGCGCGCTGGGAGGACTCGATAGCGCGGCTGGAGGCGGTGGCGCTGGGCGCGGGCGGCGGCGACTGCTGGCGCGCCGAGGAGGAGGAGAGGCGCGCGTGCCGGCGGCGCTGGTGCGGCGGCTGGTGCGGCGCCCACGACACGATCCGCGCCGAGAACGGCAAGTCGTACCTGGAGCTCGGCGGCGCCGCGGCGCGCGCCTGCTGCGACGGCCGCGCCGCCGGCCGCTGCGCCTCGCGACGCTGCTACCGCGAGCGCCGCCTCAAGATGATGAACCTGTGCGCGCTCAAGCTGGCGCGGTTCCGGCAGACCGCGGACCCGTCGCTCCGGCGCTCCGTGCTCGTGTGCAACACGCTGCGCGGCATCGAGCGCGAGATGGAGCGCGAGGGCGCCGAGGAGGTGGCGCCGCCGCCGCCGGACGCGTCGTGTGTCGCCGCTGCGGCGGTGTCGGGCGGCATCGGCGGTGCGGGGGGGGCGCGCTGCGAGCTGCTCGGCGCGCGCGACCCGGCCGCCGGGCGCGCCACCCCCTTCCCCGCGCCGCCGCCGCCCGACCGCGACTCGGGATACGGCGACGAGGAGCGCGCCATCGACTGGGGCTCGGTGCTCAGCCTGTCGTCGCGCTCGGCGCTCGACCCGCCCGAGGACGCGTGGCCCGACGACTGGGGCTGGGGCGAGGACAGCTTCGTGCGGCTGCTGGTGCCCACCAGTTAGTGCACGGCGCGCGGGCCCGCGCCCGCGCCCCTCTGAGCGCCTGTGATACGCCGCCGGCCCGCGGCGCCAGCTGACGCGGCATCTAGTCGGTGCGGCGCGCCCACGCGCACTCGCCACTTAGTTATACGTTAATCAGGGAAGGTGCTAGCTTCGGACGTGACGCAGGACCTGAGCGCGAGCCGAGTTATTTTTGATAGTTTTATTTCTTTAAGTGGATTCCGAACTGGTGGGACTAAGTGAATGATGCAGGTGACGTTATTATCGTTGGTTATAACGAAGCTCGGTCTGAGAAGAATTTTTTTTGTTAAAATTATTGTGTAATTAATTAAATGAAATGCTATATTTATTACGTTGAAAGGGAAAAGTGATAATTTGAAATTATTTCTGTCTTGATATTTTCAATGGGCGCTACTTTGGATGAGTTATGTTGGAAGTCTGCCTGCACGTGGGGATGGGACCTTTTGGAGCGATTCACGTTTGCTCCTCTGAGATTTATATTTACCCCGCTAGCTGTCGTCCGCCGCATTGCTTTCCGATGCCCAAAAAGTCCCGTCCCTCGCGATTCAGGTCTGTCGTATTAATGTGCGGACATGTGTGCCGAAGGATCGTGCTGTGCGAGCGCCTGAACAAACTGTAATTAATAGATCCTAAGCGAGTACTTAATCACCGTTTGTCTTTCATTAGTTCCGCGTCCAACGTGCGCTCGTAACGCCGCCATTGGCTCTACGGGGACGCCTTTAACCGGCGAGTGTTGCCAGCGCCGTTGAAAAGGTTCAAATTATTATCGCAACCATCGACCGATGCGGTCTTTGTGTGCCCTAAACGGAATTGTAAACAGTAGTCGCCGCCACCCGGTTGCCTCGTAACGTCCAAGCAACGTGTCCGGCAAGATTGGCGTTTGACCATACAAACCGCCAATAACTACGTTGGCAGTTCCTATTATTCAAATAATTAGTAAATCTCGGGTTTAGTTTTTAAAGCGCACGTCATCGGGCAACCGGCGGGTCGGCGGAGAAATAGTGTGAAATGCAGACGTGATTTGAAATTAGAATCGATAATAGACTGCTCAACGGCGACATGTCAGCGCCGACATCAGGACTGCTCAAAATTTCGCGGCGGCTGATACGTTCTGATTAGCGGGAGTGGCTTGCGGCGTGCCCGCGCCAAATGGGGTGTCACGAATCGACGTGGTTTTGCGGTCGCAGTTAAACGGCAATCCATTCAATTAGCTGTGTTTTATCTCTCACAGTAGCGACCGCATCACCGGCCGGTTCGGCCCCTCTGGCCACGGGAGTGCGCACGGACCAAACATTCCTAGCACATCTCACGGCAAAGTACAAAGCTTCAGGCGACATGCATCCGCATCGGCGCATGTCTGTCCACCGTCGTCAATTACTCGTAACGTTTGAATTGTGATTCGGTAGCTAATGAGAGAGGTTACTCTACGTTCTTAAATCTAGTGTAAATATTATATACGGAGTTGGGCATTATGGCGCGATTGCGGCCGTTGTAAATATATTGTAAATTAATAATTTTATTAGTGTCGACGTGGATGTGCTCGGCTCGGGGCGAACCAACGTTTGTCGAACTGCGTCGCGAGACGCGGACACCCCTATTCTGTCCAATACTCGAAACAAGTACAGATTCACGTGTTACATATTATTATAAATGCATTACATGGTATAAGTTTCGCCGGTATACTGTTGGGTTTCGTACAAATCGATAGTCGAGTTGTGAACTCGCGCACCGGGATTGTAAACGTACATTTGCTTTGGGGACTTTTTTTTTGACACGACTGTACTCTTTTCGCGTACGTTGTAACTACCTGTATGATTTTTCTGTTGAACATGTCCGTATGGTTGGTTGTGATGGTTTACTTAAGTAAGTTAGCGAATTATGAATAAAGTGGTCTACTACGTACTAGGATGTTTCGCACTCTGTACTAACACTTCGGGGACGTTTGTTGTACGCTGTCGCATTGGCGCGTGTCGCTCCTAAAGTACTTAAGTTTTGCGATTTTTTTTAAATTCTCAAGTTGAACTCCCAAATTTGCGAGACACAACGCCAATGCGACAGCCCGATGAAATTCAGAATGCTTGCAAATTGTACAAAGTATGGGAGGGAACCTCTCTAGACTTTCGGCCTCCTGTCCTGTCATTTCAACGAAACTGGCCAGATTGTATAAAAAAATAGTGTTGTCTATCCGTTTGGATGAAACTATCGTGCTCACTGAATATGTCTCAATTTTGATGTTTCTTGATGTCTGCTCTTTTGTGTGGTCTGGTTCACTGTATGACTCTGTATGTTAATTTGTATAAGAAAAACTTAAGCTTGGTTCGCCGGGCCAGGGGTGCTTGGCCGCACTGGAGTTGTGACCCCAGCAATAATTTTTGGAACCGTTATAGAGAACCCTTGTCGCATCCGTCTCTAATACATCCGCGGGCGTTTCAAAGAACCGCCCGCACTTCACCATACGTAACTTAAAACGTCTAATTTTAATTAATTCCTTTAGCGTCACTCAACTGCCATTGGTTACCAAAAATGATAAAATGACAGGATTTTTTTTATTAAAACATTCTTGTATATTATAGGGAAGAAAATACTCTCATTGGAAAATTGCGAAATCAATTTTGAATAAACTTTGTTTGCACATCGAATTGTTGAAACGTTCCTCATGTTAGAATTTTATTCAAAATTGTTTCACTAATTGTCTAATGCAAGATTATATTGTAATATATAATTGTTTAAGATGTTGTGTCGAAAGTAACAAGAGCAGGAATAATTTTGTGAAACAATGGCACAAAGAATGAACATAAATATTATATATATTATAGAAACAGAAATGTGGCTATAAGAGCAATTTTTATAATAAATATTTACTGTTGAAGAATCTCAGACTTTCATTTTGGTGTATTCCTACGGAGACTCCCCCTTCCATTTTGTCTAAATAAAAATATGCTTTTCAAACTTTTTAAGTTTGTTGTTACCAAACTTCTAGGTTTGAAAATGAATTACTTAATTTGTATAAAGTGTCTTGCTTTAACGATAGTATTTTTGCAATATTAATTAAAAAGCAGGATTTCATTTAAAAATTTACATTTATCAGGTAGATATAAAAATAAATATAATGTAAATATAGTACAATTTCAAATCGGTTCCGATAGTTTTATATCTACACAGCATTAGCGGTAGGGAGTCCATGTAGAGTCCTCTTGTGCTTCCACATGTCGCCAGAACGTCTATAATATACGAAATTGAATTACGTTATTTTTTTTAAATTTTAGAAAAAGTGGCAATCGGGCTGGCGGTTCACCTGATGTTAAGTAATACCAACCGCTCATGGACATTTGCAATATCCGTAGGGTTGCAAATGCGTTGCCACCTTTAAATAAAGTGATCCGCGGCTACCAGTGAAATGTACTCTACACAGTTACTTTTTTGGTTGTTCTCTTATTATAACTACCCCTGTACACAGATTACACATTTTTTTCCGTTATGGGTATCGAACCTGTTTTATATTGCAAAAGCAATTGGTGCGGATGTCAGTTGAAGCATTACGCAATTCGTGTCTCTCCAACAGTTGTATTACCTATGCCTTCAAAATATATATGGGTTCTTCTGTGATTCTGGTGTTCACGTAAAGTACCAAGTTACGGTGTAGCTATACCAACAATAAATCTCCTCTCGAGCAAATACTAAATATAAATACAAAAGCATCCGGATTTTAATCAGATCCCTATATATACAATCACGAAAGCACAAACTTAATTAAAAAGACTGTTTGTGTCTGCAAACTTTAGACATCTATTCGAACCAGATTTAAGCTAATATGTAAAATGAAACATCTTCAGTTTTCATAGGCAGTGCGGAAAATAAAAATGGAAAAATTGTATTCTACCCGCAGAACTAGGTTTTGATTTACGGTATTAGGTGGTAACCTCACTACAACAGTTATAGGTTTGAGGTACTCAAACCAATAACTGTTTTTTAAAATTAAGTGGATTTTGCTGAAATTAACGTCAGCTAGAGCTTATCTATATTTCATATATAAACATTATTAAATCCAAATAAAGATATTTTCAATTTGTGCCCATATAGTATTAAAAATATGATAAACAGTGCAAAACTACCGCTACACTTAACCATCGTCGCTTAGTGCCAATGCAGTTAAAATATCTGCATTTAAGCCCACTGCTATCCAAATGGAGTAAGGTCAAAAATACAAATCTTAACTTGTCGTACCGTTAACGTCAGGTCTCTAAATGTGGAGAACATCATAAAGCTTTCTCTATTAACGTTAGCTATCAGAACTTTTTGGGCCGATGTGTAAATAAGTTACATAAATAAATAAATGAACGAGCAAATAAATAAATGAAACGTTAAATGAATTTAAAACTATGAAACGAACAAATGGAATAGAGCGTATCGGCTTGCCTGAAGGCTGTGCCGCACACATCGCATTTATGAGGCTTCTCCCCGCTGTGGATGAGTGTGTGGACGGTGCGGGCGTAGGGTCTGCGGAACGCTGCGCCGCAGATGTCGCAGCGGTACGGTCTGCAAACACAGCATTATGTACTGGCAGGAGAAAAAGAAAAGATGATTTTAACCCTAACGATACAGACAGTTTTATTTTTATCAATCGATTTCAAAAAAAGACGTGATAGATAGGTAATGTTAATATCAAGTGGTGACTTGAAATTAACATTTTCATTGGTGTCGGCACCGGAGATTGAATTCGGGCCGCTCGAGTATATTACATTAAAAACGAGCCCCCGGACAGTGAGATATCATGAGAATATGCGAAGTCTAAATTGTTTCTATCTGTTATCAGCGATGTTCTATCAGCGAATTTCGCTTTAAATGAACCTATCGTCAAATCCCTTGAACAAGCAACCAAAACCACCGATGACAATATGCGCCAAGCATACACCTACAGTGGTTTAGTGAAATATACGAACGAGCATACGTTTTGATATATGAAGCATGTCGGTTTGCGCTAAGCCTTATATCGTATGCTTGGAATGGCTCGCGTGCCAGACAGTCGCCTTTGCGTCGCAGTGATTAGGCCCAGTTCCGCCGGCCATGACTGTGTCGTCACGAGGGGTGGCGAGAACCGCCCTGGAACAGACGTACCTTGTGTAACCGATCGTGCTCAGCCATTCCAATTTTTGAATTGTCAAACGCAGACTTTAATATGTGGCCTTTTTAATTAGAATTTGCTGATTTATCGTTAACACTTTTAAGATGATGTATATAAATCTAAATTTATAAATTACGATTAGTTTTCACTGTCACAATACTAATCGAAAAGAATGTTCACAGGAGTGAATCTTGACGTTTAATTAGGCTAGGAAGCTTCATACTCTTTATTATTTAATTCAATATAACATTGGTATTGATGATTTATACGTTTAGCAAAAATATTTTGAATTGTATATTTTACATGTTTAAATAAATATAAATATTTTTAGGACACATTTTTACACACCGTTCTCTAGTCCAAAACGAAGCAACGCTTGTACTATGGGATATAACTAATAAACAAACTTAAACATATTTTTCTTTTGTAATTATATACGTACTATACATATATTAACACCTAGACACTTAAAACACTATGTTCATCACACAATATTTTTCTAGTAGTGGAAATCGAACCCCCACCCTCTGACGCAGAAGGCAGGTACCCTACGCACTACGTCATTCGGGCGTCAAATATTTTTACTTATATATTCGCAGGGGCGAAAATCTTTTCGTCCATTTTTTTTATATATTTCCAATGCAGGGAAATCTCGTAAATCATAATTATCTCAAACCGTAAATACTACCAAAACTACTTTTACTTAAACTACGAAATGAAATCAAATTATTACGTGAACGTTTGATAATTGATTGATAAAAAATAACTATTAGAATACGTAACACAAGAGCCCTAAGCCGCAAGCATACTGTGGGACGACTTTCCCCGATTTAAACAACGCCCTATAGCTACTGGTTACTTATAACACCGCATTTTCACCGTAGAGCCGAAATGTAATTCATTCTGATTTATCCATACAAACTTAAAAGAAATGAAATCATCATCGAAGTCATCATCTCACTAGTAAAGTTTTCGGGGAAACATCAACAGGGCGTGATCAAAAAGTTAACGGCTTAAGCTCGACTTGCGACAGCCGTTCTTCGGTTTCATAACGCATCCGCGATCGTAAACTGCTGGAACCGGTCACTGGTTGGAGGAGAGCGGCGCCGCTGGACACGTAAGAATGCCATTCCGCAACCCGCCTGTCTTCGCCAGCGCATTGTGCTCGCCAGTCGCTTTTCGCCAGGCGATGTCTTTTGCCAGGGCTGCCGACTGTTGCCTCATTTATTTCGTGCGACACTCACTGGCCATTTGACGACGCCTCATGCTCAGGGTTGTCGATCGTTTCATTTATATCGTGTTCGATATTCACGAGCCACTTTTGCCCAGGGCTGCCGACTCTTGCGTTATTTCACACGCAACACACTAGTTTGGTGACGCCTCATGCTCAGGGTTGTCGATTGGTTCATTTATATCGTTTAATAGTCGCTTACTTGCTATAACTTTTGTCTTGGGATGTCGGTTTTTGATTAATTCTATTGCGTTAGATAGTGTATTTAATTTCCATTACACAAATCACTGGATTTATGTTTTAGTTTGGTATTTAAAATCAGAATTTCTTATTTTAGCAATTCAGACACATTTACCACCAAACACCTTTGAATCTGAATAAGCATGATTGAGCTATCATAGGCTCGACGGTGATTTACTTTTTTGTTGTTTTTGTTTGTTGACTTATTATAATAAAAAGGGAAAATATGCTTATTGGAGTTTATGTTCATGTTTTTTTTGTGTAATTTATATTTTTTTTTCGATTGTTGTGTACCTACGTCAGTCTGTTTTATGTCAAATAAATCTCTTTCTTTCCTCTTTCTTCTTTCTTTCTTCTTTCTTTCTTCTTTCTTTCTTTCTTTCTTTCAATAATTTTAAAAGACGAGAAACAACATATTGTTTTTGTGTAACAAGTTATCCTCGGTAGACGACTCTGCTACTCCAATTTCCATAACCGGTAACACAAAAACGTACTCGTCTCGTCTGGCAATCGAACCCACGAGTTCCGGCCCCCAAGCCGAAAGCTCAGCATATACGCTACCGAGTATCTTAATAGTCGGTTATATGTGAGAGACACATTCAATTCAATAATGGAAATATACAAGTGGAACAATTAAATTTACGTTTAATAAATAAACCTAAAACGTCGACAATAAATATTACTAGTTATGAACAAAATCTTCACCAACATATTTATCAATTCACAAGTTGCCTGTGGAACTCGTCTTCCATACAATAAAAATCTGCCGTCCTCTCCGAATTATCTGACATCATCTGTCTTACGGTCTAAATCTAACTCGGCCGTCTAAGGCGAGATTGACTAGGCTTCTACTAACTAGAGCGTTCGACTACGAATGCATTGGCAATAACCACCAGGTCAGATGCCGGCAGGTTTATTAAGAAAAAGGATCCTTCTAGAAGGAATGTAGACGAACATTTGGTAAGGAGAGTTTATTATAATTAAAAGTATCCTTCCAAATGGTAAACATAAACGAACGTTCGGTTAAACGAGCTAGTAGACGAGGTCGGAGAACCGTTATTACGGTGTGGGAACTCCGTCGAAATGACCAGGGGTCTTAAACTAGGACGGACCGGGATAGGCTTGGCCTAACGTCCCTGATTATTAAGCCGCCAGCCAAACACTGTGGCACCAATAAAAGGCGTATTATTGAAAAAATTCGCGCTAATCTCGCGTTCGTTATAGTGCGTACTGAATGGCGCTTTTCATTTCATTAATCTGGATTGAGGATTACTAGATAGCCTAGTAATAGTGCGATAAAATTTCTTGATGACACTATGTTTAATTAACAGTAGTATTTCTGAATCTATAATGGAGTACAGATCATATTGTAGAATTTTCTCAGACCCCTTGACAGACTTACTCGTGTTTCGGTATTTATTTACTCTTTGTATCATTATTTATTTTACTCATTGTTTGAAATCCAAATTAATGTTTAAATAAAATAATATGTAGCTTTAGAAAACAACATGTAGGATAAATGTATATGTTATACATAGTTATATCTAATAAATAATTATTCTCTATACATAGAAGCAATTCTAATATAGGTAAGCTTAATGTCGTGAAGCATCAGAATAGATAGCGGAAACCAAACCTAAGCTAGGTTTTTTTTTCAACTTTTTCCAACTTAATTCCTTTTTAGTTTTTGACAATATAACAAAACTCAATCGTAAAAATTGATTATTTTTTATTTTTCCTAATCATGAAATGATGACCGGGAAAACTAAAAACAATATTCATATTGATAATCCAAAAAATTAAGTTTTAATACCCATTTCACATTTGGTAATATTTGGTAAATTTGTTCGTGATTTTCGATTGGTATAGGAGAAACTCATAAAACGTGTAAAAAGCAGCGTCAAAAATTAAAACCCAAAACCGATTTTTTTATTTAAAAAACAAAAGAGACCGCGATATGAAACACAGGTGGCGTTTATGTCTTATACGGTAACGAAGAAAAAACCGTATCTATAAATAGAACCTGTTGAAAGGTTCTCGTTTAGACTCTTTTATGGGACCAGTTTTATTTTTTACGTCCAAGTGGCGCCATCTATGAGCCGTTGTTTAATTTAATGCCGATGTTTTGTTGAAAGTTTTAGCATTTGAAGTGTAACTTTAGTGTAAAATTTGAAAGATATTCACTTCTAATGTTTTATATTTATTTTTTATCAATATTTACTACTAATTACTAAGTTTATTTCATTGATTGCAAGAATGCATAATTATAATACTTGTCATCTAAAACTATATTAATTACATTTATATTTAATGATTGTAGATATTCTTGTTTTATGTTTTTTATCAACAATGTTATTAAACTAAAACTACAAACCTGGGTAAAGTAAGACTTTTTATGATGTTCCTAAACGTTATCTCACATTCATAAAATTTTGTAAATTCCAAAATTAAAATCTCAAAAATATGTATTAATGGTTTTTTCCTATTTCTTTGAGTTCAGAGTGTACAAGTTATTGCATGAATGAAAACATTTTAATATGCTTGCGCTTATATGTCTTTGCGGGGTGGGTAAAACGAGAAGGACTCTAAAGCCATTTGATGACACCGTGGAGGTTGTTTCAACGACATGATACACATATAAATGTCATGCGGAAACTAAATACCAAATATTTCGATGGTTGTGCTTGCTGAAATGATAAGAGGACAAAGGTCGCAATTTTGCAGCCTGCTATAATTGTTTTCTTTTTATTTTATTTTTTGTTGTCTGTCGCGGACAGTGTATGGTTGGAATAAAGTTAATTTGTCGTATTTATATGAAGACCACACAACGAAACTGGTTTGCTACCAATAACTTACTTTTGAACTCCAATAAAACAAAATGTATTAGATTTACTCTTTCAAACTTGTGTCACCAATCAGGAATCTCTAGTGACGAGAAAATCCTACCACTTGAGGATTCAACAGCATTTCTTGGAATAAGCGTTGACTCCAAGTTGCAATGGGGATTACATGTAGATAAGTTAGCTAAGAAATTGAGCGCTGCCGTCTTTGCCATACGCAAAATCAGGCAGCTAACTAACGAGGAAACTGCAAAATTAGTTTATTATGCTTATTTTCACAGCATAATGTCCTATGGTGTCTTACTTTGGGGTTCCGCATCCGGTCTAGACACAATATTTGTATTACAAAAGCAGGCTATACGGGCCGTCTATGGCTTGGGTCCACTTGAGTCGCTACGACATATATTTAAGCAAATAAACGTTTTGACGCTCCCGTCGCTTTACATACTTGAGAACATCATGTATGTACGTAATAATATCCACCTATTTACGAAAAAACAATCCACATCGCGTCGGGGCCGTGGTGACACTCTGGAAGTACCGAGGTTTAGATTGGCTAAAACCAGAAAGTTGTTTCTTGGAAGATGCATCAACTTTTATAACAAAATAGGTGACATCCACAAACAACTAAGTATAAACAATTTCAAACAATTTGTAAAAGCTACCTTAATGGCAAGGGCCTACTATAATATCCAAGAATACATAGAGGACAAGGATGTTTGGAAATGACTCTTGCTCTGCACTTGCAAGACCCCTGGCTGCTGCTGATTTTATACCCATATAAGTGTGTATGCAATTAGCATTAAATATATATATATATATATATATATACACATATATAACAAAAAGAACAAGACCGCAGAGTTTCCTGCCGGTTCTTCTCTGTGCAGGTCTAGTTTAGTGAACCGGTGGTAGATTTTTGTTGACGTTCAATAAGAGCTTAAGTTAGGCCTATATTGAATAAATATACTTTGACTTTGACTTTGAACAATTTTTAAAAGATTTTATATTAATACTTTGCACTGTTCTCATAAAAAGGCACCACGTATACTTGGGAATTTTGGCATTGGCAATTAAATAAAACGCGATACAATCCATAAATATAATTTCATCTAACAATTTCTTATTCTCCATTCCAAAATGTTAAATTACAATCCTATAAATAAGGGTCTGCCACTTTAAATAGTTTGGTTGTCAAAAATTCGCGATCTCAACTACACGCGATCCCATACATGTGGGTCCGAGTAAATTTTATTAATAGATAGTCGATTGAGCAGATGGCGCGAATCGAGTACAGAGTTGCATAATGCGATAGAACGTAAGTTGACAGGTGCATCACCTCACCTACTGCGCAGAGGGTGATAAAACCTAAGAACACAATGGTGCTCAATTCGTGGCACTCGGACGGAATGCATCAGCTGCTAATCATGCGCTGCGTTTCGTCGGACGAGAAACGTGTGCTTAGTGACACAGGGGATTTCCAATATCGTCTTACACTATATCACGTTTTAACACTCTAATTGCAACAAACTTTAGGAGATTTGTAAAATGATAGCATTTTTCACGTTTATCGCCTGCAATTTACCACAGACATGTGTAACACTTATTATATTAATTTTTATATTTTTCAGAACACACAGGCGGGTTTTGAAAAAAATAAAAAGTAGTTTGGTGTTTTAATAGAACTGTGTGTTTATCTGTATGTCAATAGATATTTTTAACATATATGTATATTAATGCTGCAGAACTTATATTAAAAGATGTTATTATGTTACTTACCCGACGCTTAACCCTACAGTAATTTGGTTTTGTTTGGGATAATCAGCCGAACATACTTTGAACAAGTCAAAACTTATATTTTTTGGGACCCTATGGGATTTTACTGTTCACACAAAACTAGACCCTATCCTATCATCTATCCCTCCCTCATTCTATTAACCAAAGTTTCTTATTAATTCCCAAACAAGACGCCCACGTACATACACCAGAACAAATGAAAAATTTGGCCAACAATCTGAAAGAAACTGTAAACCTCATTATTTCGTTTCAAAGTCTGATCAGTTGCAAATCGAGACATAGCATAAAATAAAGTAGCTCCCGCTGTTTGTACGCTTAGATTTTTAAACTACCGAATTTTAATGCAGTTTTACGTACGTGTGGCAATTGTAGTAGAGAAAAGCCGATAAATTTAAAGATTTGTAATGTAATGTAGTAACAGTCATATTTTTGTGCGCTTACGTTGCAAACGTTAACTAAACCTTACGACCGTAATATTGTTTATAAAGATATCCCGTAGTATAGACTAATCATAATCATAATATTATTATTCACTTCATACTGTCCCTACTACATTAGGATCTACATTTCACCCGTGCGAAGCCGGGTAGGGTCGTTAGTCACTATCATCACTACATAGTATAAAACAAAGTCGTCCTACTGTCTGTCTGTCAACAACTGATTTTGATGCGGTTCTTTAACAGATAGAGTGATTCAGGAGGAAGGTTTATATGTATAATTCATGAACACTGATAATTTTAGAGGTTTCTAATGCGATGTCGAAAATAAACATTCAGCATTACACCCGTGCGAAGCCGGGGCGGGTCGCTAGTTACTTATATAATAACGCTATACTCAAATAAAACGGAATCTCGATGGAAATCAGCATCAGCCATTAGCGGTGTACATAAGTTTACTCGGTCCTCGAGTCGATGAGCGATGCTCTCGCCTCCGGGCCGTTGACAGAAAGATACCACTGGGCCTCAAACCCATGGGTTCTGGATAGCCCACCGGTTCTGCGTTCGACGATGCTTAAATAGTCTAACGACTGAAAGCGTAACATCAGCTATACGAATACAACGGGCAACCTCTGGTCGGTGTGAATGCGCGCGTGCTCGCGCAGCCGGGCGGCCGCCGTGAACGTCTTGGGGCAGGCGTTGCAGGCGAAGGGACGCTCGCCGGTGTGCGTGCGCCGGTGGTCGTCTCGCTCCACCTGCCGGCCAGTTTCACATGTTGGCGCGTGGAAAAAACGCAGAGGGCTTGCGGGGTCGCTGCGCTTTTCGAAAGCGGCGGACGGTCCCGTTTTGATACAGTCGGTATTAGTGGTCACGACGTTGTATCGACTCTCTACCGGGGTATAGTCGAATCAAAATCAAATTCAAAGTCAAAATCAAAATTTACTTTATTGACCTGTCCATAAAAAAACCAGCAAAGAGGCTCTGAATTTGACACAGTACGAGTAAGCACATTTGACTAGGCAGCTGTTCTGAAATCCACGATGGTAAACCGTCTTGTGTTCATAGTTATCTGACTTTATTTCGACTCTTTACCGACGTACCTACATCCATGCAAATTTGACACAGTACGCAGTAAGCAGGTGTAGTCATGAGACTCTTTTCTTAGGTCACCACGCAGTGAAGTGTGCATGAACCGTTATCACTAGGACTATGCGTATAGGTCGAAATAAAGAACTCTATAGTGTAGTACAATCGGACAATGAGGACTGTCACTGTAATATACGCTCTGAACTTTGAAAGTACCAGTCTAATCGACGCTAATCGAAGTTGATCACTCGCCATCAGGTCAACCGTTTGTCGCCATCTAAATACTTATTTATATAAAATCCACCTCTAGAGATTCGTTCATTCGTACACGTTTATTCAACGTACATCTCAAATGTAGCATCCAATACTTAAAAGCACAACAATAAATGAAACGGATTCTCATTTTCCTTTTGTTATTTATTTTCGATATCGCTACTTGTTAGGTAGCTATAGACATATTATATGCTTCTCCTAATGAGGACTACGCCATTAATATACAGAATACAGAATTGCATCGAAATTAGGATTGTCCGACAGATCTCCAGAATGTTGGTAACTCATACATACTTTTGCACGTCCATTAAACACACTAAACACATTACACTAACCCAAGCTTTATTTCAATGGAGGGAACTTCTCTAATATTAAACTTAAAAAGAAAGATTCTTTGTTTGGCTTTTAAACAGTTTTAATAATTGCAATAACGTGTACTGGAGTGTCTTTAATAATTAAATAAATTTTAGGTATAGTATTAGGTTGACAGTTTAAGTACCATTCGGATATATGCAGCATTCAAGTAGGTCATATTTTACCAGAGATATATTGACTACATTGGCGATGACTCCAAAAACGTGTCATAAATTGAAATTAATGTATCAAATCTGATATTAGTCTTACCTTAATAAAGGCCTCGAAACAAATGTAAGCAAAAGCGTAAGGAAATTTCGTGTCAGCTCAATTTAGGATATCTAATAAATTTATGATAATCATTATAATGTAAACTGCTTGTCAAACCACATGTATCCTTATAATTGTCCGCTCTTCGCAGAATCAAATTAATTATGTAATGTTCGATAATTTAATTTGCTTCTCAGCGATCTTGTATTTAGAAGAGCGCTACACATTTAGAAAAAAATATATATACGGGATTGAATCGAGTTTGATGTTGATTTCTAATTCCCCACCTTTAGAAACGCCACTTCCATGAACAGAGGACAGAACAACCCATGCGTTATCCCCAATACTTCAATTAATAATCATTTCATCGATTAGAATAGCTGTCGATACTTATTTTGTTATTATTTTCGAAATAAAAATCTGCATTGGGGCCGCGTGGTGAACTATGCCCTCTGTACAGAAGAGACCGTTGCCCAGCGGTGGAATGTGTACAGGTTGTTATTTTACTTTACTTGAAACGAATAAATATAACTGAACGTGGGGAAAGGACTGTGGGAATAGAAGGCCTTACAGAAGCTTCTGTTATTCCACGTACGGGCAGGGTCGTCTGGAGGAGTACCACGGCCTCACAGAAGACTGGCGTGATTTAGAAGTATTGTACTTTCACTCGTGTTTCGTCTGGTGAGTGAGTTAACCGGGGCCCACTATTTGAAAGGCTGTCAACGCATCCACAACTCCTTAGGCGTATCCACAACTCCATTGGTGTTGCAGATGTCATGGTTGGCGGTAATCACTTAAAATCAAGGAAACTGTTTTTTTTCTTTTCACAAAAAATAAAAAATCCAAAGCCTGTTTGTGCAACCTATGACGGATTCTGGAGTTTTACGAGCATCTGTGTAGCTGGGCACCAATCACCCGCACCACAATGCCACCGCATTACAAGCCAACAGAATGTAGAGAGAAGGGAACAAAAAGCGGACCGTATTTAACTTTCAGTACAATTAGCCGGCCAGTTATTGTACTGTACGAATAAAAGAAAGATATTTACGATTTTTTTTTTATTTCGACGAGTAATCAAAGTCCACTGTGATTTTAAAGATTTTTTTATAAAATACGCAGGTCCAAACTATAAAACCTTAGGGATTTTCTGCACGTACGTGAGTTAATATCCTACGTCGCTACAGAGAAATAGATCTGGGCTAAAATCAAGAAAACACTACGATCCAGCCTTAATGTACTGCTCTAGGTTACGTACTACCACAAGGTAAAATTTTTAAATTTCATGTTAAAATTCTACATATCACATATTTGAATGTGATTTGGTGGGATGGGATGGATGGGTTTTTATTCAGTCACATTGTTATACTATCACAATTTTATAATTAAAACCCATATCTTTTTAACTAAATATAACAAAGCGAAACCAGGAATCCATTTATGTTACGCTTTCAAATAATGGTAGAGTTAGTTAAATGCCGTTCGATTATTCGCTGTCATAATTATTATGTAATAACCTTAATATGATTAAGTTAGTGTCATCATTTTACGTTTACCTTCACCCGAATCAGTATTAAGGTAAAATATGTTTTAAACAAAGGAAACATGATTAAACTTATGTCTTTAAATAACTAAATATATAGAATGGGGTAACACCAGTTCAGTGCCCTTACTCCTGTGTTTATCAATCGATGTTTTATTTGTTACAAGCAATAAAAATTGTAACTTTCAGCTTTTCTTCACTACCTATATGTTGTGTATATTATATTTTATACACTAGATGACCCTTATCTCTTCCAACACATTTTACGGTAGATAATTTGATTTTTATTCTTTTTCATTCCTTTTTGTTATACTCTCATTCTAGCTGCAAACATGATTTAATAGAGACTCCCTTTCCAATGCGTTGCCTGGAAAACAGCACTAATTGGCGACATGACCGCTTGTATGTTCCCTTTCAGCGCGTGGTAATTGTTTTGTGAAAATGTCGTGAGTCTTATATTAAAGTACACTTATTTAAAAGTGGTGAGAAAGGCAATAAAACTTCGCTTTTATAATAGCTAATTATTGTTCACTTTTATTGTTTCAAGTGTACGTCTTTTTTCTATATGAAAAGTTGCCAAACGAGCAGGTGGTGCACCTGATGTTAAGCTAATACCACCGCCCATGGACGTCTGCTACACCCGAGGGTTTGCAGATGCGTTGACAACCTTATTATTTCCACTTTACGCCGGTCTTCTGTGAGGTCGTGGTACTTATCCGGACGAGCCTGCCCATTCGTGGCCCTACCACCGTAATTGTAAAATTATGCATTATTTTTTAGCAAATATGTAATACCATTGATAATTCTATTTTAATTTTAATACATAAATATTTTATACATATCTATATTTATAGAACGTTATTGTTAATAATATGAGTAAAAAGTTATATTATACACCGTAACGTAATAACTACATATTTGCTTTAAATACGGTAAGATGATTTTACTCCGACTGACTCTATAATAACCAATAATTTACAAAACCAGTAAATTTAGTAACTTACTAGTAGTAGGTGGAGGAGGAGGATATTCAGCTGTGGCGAGTCAACAGGTTGAAATGATGATGAGGATGACACTAGTAAACAGCCACTGGCATTGTAGGAAAGAATAAGGAAAAAAAAGGGTTTTCCACGATAATTGAACATCGCAGCCTTAACTTTATTTATGTTATTATAGTTAGTTTTGATAGTTTATTATTATTATTATTAGTTAGTTAAAATTAAGATTTTTATAAAATAAGTTTAATTTTTAAAAGAAATGTATTTTATTTCTGTATCATTTGGAAAAACGACCACACATTTACAATCTAATTTCTAGGTTTTTACACTTTCATTAAAAATATTTGCAGTATCCCGCTATTTATTAAAACATAAATACTGATGTAACGCCTGACCTTATGAAACATAGTAAAATCATTCCGGTGTTTAAATCTGGTAGTACTTCCGACCCCAATAATTTTAGACCTATCTCTGTACTGCCAACTCTTAGTAAAATTTTTGAAAAAATCATGTTGAATCAAATGTTACAGCATTTTAGCTCTCATAATTTATTACATAACAAGCAATATGGGTTTACTAGGGGTCGCTCAACAACTGATGCGGGTGTTCAGCTCGTTATGAATATTTTTGAAGCCTGGGAAAAGTCGCAGGTTGCCTTAGGAATATTCTGTGACTTAACCAAAGCTTTCGATTGTGTACAGCATGAGACCTTGGTCAGGAAACTACGCCACTATGGTATAAGAGATGCCGCACTCAATCTTCTGAAATCGTACTTGAGCCATCGAATTCAGAGAGTTGACGTGAATGGCAAGAGATCTCCCGGGGCCTTGGTAAATATGGGGTCCCGCAGGGATCTATTCTTGGGCCTTTTCTCTTCCTCATTTACATAAATGATCTACCTTATCTTGTTAATAATTATCATGAGATAGTATTGTTTGCGGATGATGCCTCTTTAATCTTTAAAGTAAACCGACGTTCTTTAAGTTATGACGATGTAAACAATACTCTAGCTACTGTAGTACATTGGTTTAGTGCTAACAATTTACTGTTGAATAATAAAAAAAACTAAATGTATTAAATTTACAACTTCCTCCAATGTTAAACATGTAAAAACTGATGTACTTTTATATGGGGAAGCGTTGGACCCTATTGACTCAACTGTATTCCTTGGCATAACTATTGATGCCAAACTGCAATGGGGCCCCCATATTAATAGACTGGCGAGTAGACTTAGCTCAGCAGCTTTCGCGGTCAAAAAAATAAGACAGTTAACTGATGTTGATACGGCTCGCTTGGTATATTTTAGTTATTTTCACAGTATAATGTCTTATGGCATTCTGCTTTGGGGTAACGCAGCCGACATTAATACAATCTTTATCTTACAAAAGAGAGCTATTCGTGCAGTTTACAATCTGGGCCCCAAAGAATCGTTAAAAAACTTGTTTAAAGAGATAAAGGTATTGACTGTTGCTGCTCAATACATTTTTGAAAATGTTTTGTATGTCCATAAAAATAAGGATAAATTTTTAAGACATAATAATGTTCATGATATAAATACTAGGAACAAAAATAAATTGATCCTACCCACAAGTAGACTCAGTAAAATAAGTAAATCTTTTATGGGACAATGTATACGTTATTACAACAAAATTCCAGAAAACGTTCAAAATGCATCAATAGCTAAATTTAAAAAAATAGTAAAAGAACGTTTGTGTGTTAAAGGATACTATAATATTAATGATTATTTAAATGATAACACACTCTGGTAATGAACTGATTGCTCCAGGCTCTTTCAATCGGAGTTCTTATATTGTATTTTAACGAATTTATGTCAAACTGCTTATTTAAAAAAAAAGCCCGCTGAGTTTCTTTCGCCGGTTCTTCTCAGTACAGTGGCTTTCTTTTCCGAACCGGTGGTAGTGTTTTGACTATCAATAAGTGAGTGTAATGCTCCTATGTTGAATAAATACATTTGATTTTTGATTTTGATTTATTACAAATTTTGATTTGAAAGGACGGACAGTAGACAAAAGTAAACAGTAAGAACTCGTGGGCTAGCCAGAACCCATGGAGCTTGATACGGCCCTCGCGTTAGGTAGATATAATTGTCAGTACCTACTATTTAGACTACTATAAAAATGTGACAAAACTTAATTAAAAACTGTGATGAATAAGAAGAAAAATGTATAAGAATAAATTACTTTTAAAGCTTAAAAAGGCTTTTGGTAAAGAAAGCTTCTTTACATTATTTTATAAACTTAAAAATTAATAAAACGGCCCGAATGATAAACTTAAATGTTCTGTGAGGTTCTTAAGATTGGTGTGCGTATGCGTGTCGGTATGTATATAGTTTTCTGCATATATATTTGGTTTTGTAATTGGTCGTGACCCATGACCTCCCCATAGAGACGCGTCTGGCTCGGCGAAAAAGCGTTACCGTAGTCTGTTTCGCAAAAACTACGTTTCGTATTAATTTACGCGTTCGCGGTCTCACCTTCACTTTGAAAGCCTTCGGGCAGAGGTCGCAAGGGTAGGGGCGCTCGCCTGTGTGCATCCTCATGTGGATGGCCAAGTGACCGGACTGGTTGAAGCGGCGGCCGCAGACGCGGCACGGGTAGCCCTGTAGGTGCATCTTGACGTTAGAAATCGACTTAATTTATGATTTATACGCTGCAAGAAACTACTTAAGAAGAAGAGGTGAAAGAGAGTAAAGAGAAGAATAAGTGAGCTGAAATTCGAACCACGATCTGAGAACCTCTGGAGTCCCGTATGTTGTAGGTCGGACGGAAAAATTTCGAAAGCGGAGACAGACATGATAGTTGGTGAGGAAGACGTATAAATAATATTCGTTCTTATATTATGTTGAGAATTAAACATTATCAATTGAAATCAAAGAATACATGGACTTCAGCGTAGGCGTCAGGTTGTGGTATATCAACGCTCATCCGTGCATTTTTAAAATACTAATTCTACATGTTTTTGTTTATCTAAACACACACGCTTTCAGTCTTAATTTAATTGAATTATTGATAATAATGTAACACATTGCTATCGAATACCCTTAAAATTTAACAGAAATTACCATTTATATATTAAACTGTAATTAATTTATTAAGGAAAATTCCAATTTATAAGTTTCTTGAATGAATTAAACGCGATTTGAAAGAAAACGATATGAAAGATGAAGAAGAAAGCCGCAACCATGAGGTTGCCTGGTATGAACTGGTACCTATTTTATTACTAGTTATTTAAACTCAGTGTCTTTTTCAAAACACGATAGTATAAGTAGCGATGGAAAATAAGTTTTCAACCCCATCGTTCTATGCCTGTCCTACCTTTTAGCCACACTTTGATGTGTATATTCAGTTGTGTGCAAATATTTATAGAGATTCATAAATTTATAGTATATAATTGATCTGTCCCTTAAAATTTGATATTTTAAGAACTACTATTCTTCATAACAACTAATAATAGGGTAAATAATTAATACTATATTACAGTAAGTTGAGCAAACAACGTTAGTAGCAACGTGAGTTGCTGCCGACTATTCTCCAGGTAAAAGTGGCTATGTATTGTAGCCTTATTTACTCTTTGAAATTTTCTCCATTTGTAAATTAAAGTTCCGAAATCAGGTAAATAATTTTTAACATTAGTTCTGCGCAAACAAAGATATATAGAGACGGATTAAAGATTTAAAAATGCATGTTTGGCTCACGATCAATAAATGAGGTTAAAAACCATTTATTTCAACATCGATGGTGAAAACGATTTTAAATACACGTAGCGTCATCTAGTGAGGAATCGATTTAGCTAGTAACATAATAGTAATTAATGTCAATGAAATCTGGTTAACTTTTTGGATAAAAATATTGTTTTCTAAACCGATAAATGTGATTAGTTATTGTATTTAAAAGAAAGCTCAGTGAATTTCGTCTTTCAAAGTCGTTTCTCAAAGTCTTCGTTGTTGCATGAATAGACAGGTCCGTCCGGGGATGTACCACAATCTTACAGAAAACCGGCGTGAAATTGAAGTGTTTATTGTAGCAAATATCTGAAACCCTACAGGTGTTGCAAATGTCCATGTCGGCGGATATCACTTAAAATCAGGGGAACCACCAGCTCGCAAAGATGGCAAATCTTCTCACATAAAAAAGCTACGCCTCAGACTCAGATCTATGGGGGCAGACAGGAGAAACGTTGCTATTATACTATTCACACAATCCTGACACTTGTCTCGCCGTTCATGCCATTGCTTGCAGGTGTCCTTAAATTGCCACTTCTTTACCGTATCGCAAATCTGGCCGACATACTTTCCTAGGCCGTTTCTCACCAGCCTCTCACTTCCGCGCTACTTTAAAATATCGTATTTTAATACATTAAGAAACTAAAATGACGTAATAAATTTATAATGAAACCTCTTTAAAAGGCAAATCACTAAATGTAACACACAACAATCAGCCAGAGGATTAGGAAGAGATAACGATTTCCTACTTCAGCGATGTTCACTGTTGTTTAGACCTCTTTTACCTAACTCTTTTTTTTAATCGAAACTGGCCAGCACTTAAACTAGTGATAAATGAAGCTGTACATTTTTCTAACGCCGAACACATCTACTATGTTTGTAGATGCACGCGTATTTGACACCACCCTACTTCTATATGTCGCCTATTTGATCGATTTACTTTCACTACCAACTCAACAGTAAGAAAATAAAGTATATTACAGGTTTCGAGACTTTGTGCATCTTCTTATGCGTGTGCAGCGCACACATGCTTCCCAGCACCTTGTCGCATTCCTCGCAAACGTATGCCATTAAAGGCGCCCCCGGGGGTCTGTCTTCCCCACGTTTGTGGCGATACAGCTCCCTGTTGCAAATAATTCTACGCTTGCAAACATTTCATAAAAACAAAATATATTTATAGTTTTTATGTAAATATATATTTAATAACTTTATCGTGACTGCTATAGAGACTGTTCAGTAGGACGCTATCTTGGTCGTTCCGCGAATCAATGAGCTTCTATTCGATATTGTTTATGTTTAATAAGAAATAAAAGGGAAAAAAATGTAAAACCCTCCTTTTTAATATAGCTGGTCACATACACGTGCACTATTACTTTTACATTCATATATGTGCTGCTGGTATTTTTATCAAAATAGTATATGTTAAAAGAACCCATAAGGCCAAGACGAATTATGTTACTTATTACTAAGTTTTTAGTTTTACTATACGTTTTAGGGCCAGGCAACAGTCTTCATTGTTGAACGAATGGGCAGGTCCGTCCAGGGAAGTACCACTACCTAACAGAAGACCGGCATGAAGTGGAAGTGTTATACTTCTACGATTCGTCTGATGAGTGAGGTACCCGGGGTCCACTTTAGTAAAAGGTTGCATAAAAGAACTTAATACTGCATCGTAGAACTAAACAAACATCGTTCTTCATAACACCAATATGACCACTTCGTGCTGCTGCCCATCCGTGTCCCCTTTTAGTCGCCTTTTACGACAGGCAGGGGATACCTTAGCCCTATTCTATAAGCCCGGGACTACATGGCTGATGTAGGTTAGGCCTAGGTTAAATTATCTTAGTGCATCGAGCTCAGCCAAACAATATAAGGGAAGTTATTCGTTAACTTCAGGAAATCATTACATTGGATATGTTTGCGGAAACTTTACCTAGCTGTAGCGAAAAGCTGGTTGCATGAGCCACAGTTCCACATCTTGCTGTTGCCACCGCTGGAATATGGTCGACGAGTTTGTCGGAGCTGCGGTGCTCTTTGGTAAACTATACTATCGACAGTAGAAACATCTCTCGGTGGCGAATTTTCATTATTTATGCTACAAGAATCCAACAGCCCCGAAATATCTGATGAAGATATTTCTGTACTGAGATGTTCCTGTAACAAGAGCAGTTTTGGTCAGGTTGATTAATCATTTTTTATAAAATCTTTATTATTTATGTCGAAACGATACGAAAATTTTTGTAGCTTGTAAATATTTAGGAGAATTCATGCAGCAGCTTCTGCTGTTGCAAAAATGGGCAGGCTTGTCTGGGGCATGGTATTAAAGAAGATCGGCGTGAAGTGGAAATATTAAACTCTCGCGTTTCGTCTAGTGACTGAGGTAACCGGGGTCCATATTTTTAAAGGTTGTCAATGCATCAGTAAGCCGTTAAGCTGTCGAGTGTTGCAGATGTCCATTTTCACATTCATTTAACATAAGGTGAACCACCTACACGTTTAACATAAAAAATATGATGCAAAAATGATCGAAAAGTAGATAGAGGTCGCCATATGCTTTAGCCTTATTTATAAAAACTTCTGAAAAAGGAACTTATAGTGCCATCTAGCGTTCATTGGTACTTAATAAAACAATTATTTATAATAAACAGATATTCAAAGACAACTACTTCTATTTTTTTAATTAATATGATATAATATAACTAATATGATTAATTTGAATGATTAATATGAAATGATATAACATTAAGAATGGAGGTTACCATTGAAGGAACGCAACTCTGTCGATTTTCCAAACAGCACGTCAGTCGATGCCGGTCCAGCGCTTCGCCATCGGCAAACAAATAACTGCAGAAATCGCACACGTACATAGCGCTCAGTCTTCGGGACGATACACTGGCCTTCCCACTCTCGTCCTTGCAGCATAATTGTTCTGCAAGCTCTATATGTAGAGCAAAACATACAAATCGTAAGAAGGCGCTTGTGTGATTGCCTGTCCGAAACTTCAAGTCAAATATTTTTATACTTGAAAAACATAGCATGGATTTGTTAATGACGTATATTTTACGGTAAATAATGTTATTTAATATGTTTGACAACCAACACAGAATCAGTTAGTGCAGCTTGTAAAACCAGCATTTTATGAAATCTCCTTGACAAGTGGAGTTTATTTTTTTTTCCTTTATTTCAATAGTTTAAGTAGGAATTACAAAAGCTGTATTTAGTCAAATAAGCTTTACTGAACTACTTTGAGAAAATTTGAGTTAAGCCCGCCCCTTTTTCTCATATTTAATTTCGTTTATTCAAAGTCAATGCTTTTAAAAATCCATTAACACTAGACGGATTAGGTATCTTTGGTGTTACTATATCGGAGTATACTCATTTAACATTCCGCTTACTACAGATATTAAATTTATTATGGTATTTTAAGTTATAGCAATGATATTTAAGTAATTAAATTATTCTATGAAATTAAAGAAACTTTTAACAATTAAAAGAAGAAAAAGTAGTAACGTAGTAACGTAAGAGTGGACAATTATAATGTATTTATATATATACAATTATATTTAACTACTCATTATAAACATAAGAGACCCGTGCAAAATTTTCGAAGAGTATCGTGATCCGTTACCGAATGGTAATGTATAAAATCTATAATAGTAATCTAAAAAAATACGTATTAATATTAACAATGACAGGTATCTTATTTTGACAAACAGCCTTCCTTCTGCACTATTTTCTATTTAAATAACTTGTCAATAGATGGCATTATCATGCACCTAGAAATCTTAAAACGAATATTTTTATATGAAAAAAAAAATGATCTACGCGTCTTCTCCCTCACCGTTAGATTCCGTTTCTACAGCTGTTGATAGTACTCTCTCGCAAATACCGCACACATACCAATCTGCTTCAAAATCTTGATTGACAACGCTCGTTTCTAGAATGTAAATTTTATTACATTTTAATGTGATACGAAAGTACATAACATAAGAACATAATAATAAAAATTACGGTGGAAGGGCCATGCAGCAGCCTTGGCTGTTGCACGAATTGGCAGGCCCGTCCGGGTAAGTACCACGACCTCACAGAAGACCAGCGTAAAGTGGAAGTATGACAAATACTTTCGCTTTTTGTGTGGTGAGTGAGGTAGCCGGAGCCCAATTTTCAAAAGGTTGTCATCGCATCTGTAACCCTCGGGTGTAGCAAATGTCCATGGGCGGCGGTATTCACTCACCATCAGGTGAACCGTCTGCTCGTTTGGCAACTTTTCACATAAAAAAAACTAATCTATTATAACAGCTACATTATTTGTAAGCAGACAAAAAACTTTTTATATTCATCTAGAAAATTATTTATTTTTAAATCGGGAACTCTGGATGCCTATTTTTTCAGGGTGGAAGGTGATAGAAGAGTTATCGAGACGACAACAGCACGAGTGGGGCTGCACGTATGTTGTCAACCTGCAAAAGAGTGGACCGCCGGGTCCTTTACCTGTCTGTGATGCTGCGGTACCCGGGCGCGGATACAAGCCTGCGGCAACTAAAATTGCTCGGCCGCTACTCCTACTTTGGTACTTGGCAACACTTTTACTATGCATATACATATACATAGCAACGGCCAATAACATGAATAAAATTTTCTACTCACCAACGAATGCATCCTTTTCACGATTAACAGGCAGATTGGTTTGGTTCCTATCCACGTTGTCAGATGCATGCAGCGAAATGGTATGGTCCAGCAGATCAGCCTCTGTAGTGAAAATTTCGTGGCATATAGCACAAGAGTGAAGAGCCAACAGGTCAGGCCCATTCTCAAGTTCCTGAAAATAGTGTGAGCAACAATATAATATGATAGGAGCAAATAGATCGAAATCTTTATTAATTACAGAAATAAACACCTTATCTTTTTCAGCAGACACGTGTAGCGGTAAAAGAAATTGATTTACAATGTTATCATCCAATAAAGTGGGTTCGAAGTTAAACATATCCGGTTGGATGACGTAAAGTTCTGTGTTTTGCTCCAAATTTTCTGTGGCTATGTCTCCGTAAGACGCATTCTCGATATTGAAGTATCGCCCAGAATTATTAGAATGAAGTGATAATTGACTCGTGGCGTTGATATCACTTTGGTCCGTTACATCTGTGAGCATCTCGCATGTACTGCTTGCAGAACCGTTATTTGATATATCGTTATTGAAAAGCTCATCCGCACTGTAGTGTTCTCTCAAAGTTTCGGATAATTCTCTGTACGGAAAATCGGGTGGATCGAACATCATTTTAATGTCTGTAATAAACCAAACTTCTTAAAATATTAGGTTTTTATTGCATACGGTCAAAAATCATCATCTATTCAGCTTTAAGTTATGTTTGTAATTGAATTAAAACGCATCAACGCTGAAAGAGTTTTAAAATAAATGGATTTTCTTTGGAAGCCAAGATTCAAATTAGAGAGTATATCCAACTTTTTGCTTGAATTAAGAAAAGCCGCCCCTAAAGAGCGGGCATTCCCTAGGGGTCAGTACTTGCCCCGACACTCTTATCACACCAGCGTTACCCCTCGGCTCCTATGATAGAGTTAGTACTATATGTTGACTAAACAGCGTAGCTGTGCTAGACTTTACGTGACCGATCGCAACTAAATCCACGTAAAATAATTTAATCATCCCGCCACCACTTGACAAAGATCGCCTGTCGTCGTTCATTATCGCCGTGACTCCCACAACAGTCAGAGCGGTTTTTAATAATTAACGTCATCGACCGACGTGTTTTTGAGAACAGGGTCCGAGGGAAAAGCTGCGGATTTACTTTCCATTTTTAGTGGGTTACGCGCTATTGAAGCTTGAGATAGTCGTTCGAGGTATTCGGCATTCTAGCCGCCTTCGACGACTTTGCTTTAGGGCAGAGTCAGAAGAAGCTTCCAGGACATGTTCTCTGATTTCAAGTTTCTTGCCAGCTGCCAAAAGGCAGTCTGTAAAAATAAGGTGCCCTTCATTAGAGTGTCCTATCTCTTTACCCTTAACTCTTGCTTCTTTGACGTTTCGGAATGTGTGTTATTGAAAACACCGGTGGTTAAGTTATTCTTCCGCAATAGCCGTCTGATGTTCTCAACTGATCGAAGAGGCGGATATCAATATGAAGGCGGTCTCATGAGACTAAAAAAATATGTTATGCACCTATTTAGTTTTTTATGCTGGTAATGAGATTTTTCTTTTATTTGTCAATGTGCGCTTGACATTGACATTTGATCCTTAAGTATTGTTGATTGTTTGGTTGAGCGGTGTTATTGAATTTGGTATTTTTGTGGTAATAGTATCTCATTTTAAAATAAAAATGAAAGCCGACAATGTGGCCTCTTCCGATAAACCGAAAATACCTTTACCGACATTATCACAAATTAATGCCGACAGAATAACGCAAGTAAGTATGAAAAGTTAGGTTAAAGGTATTATTTCTTAATATTTTTAATCAATGTTAATAGTTACTTAAAAATGAAAGCAAATTTAATACTCAATATTAGTTGATGGTCGCTTAATATTTTTGTAATAATCATTATACAGACAATTTGTAATTTTATTACAAAAAAAACAAATTAAAAAACGAGATCTCGCGTTTTTTAACCTTAAAGGGATAGATAGGCATAACTGATACTATCCAAACTTAACCGAGATCAGTCCGGAACGGGAGGTAAACTTATTGGTGTACATTGGAATTTGCAGTAGTTAACTTTAAAATGTGTGTTCACTACTTTATTACAATGTGAGTCCACGATTCAAACTAAGGCAAATATAATTCAATGAATTAAAGTTGCAATGAATGAATTAAAGGTGCTGTAAAATTTATTCAACTTTTTAATATATGTTACTTGAATAACACATACATGACAAAGTTGTATCAATTTTAAAATATCTTGAATGTAATACATAATTATAACATTTAACAAGATAGTAATAATTTAATGTTGCCTCTGGTATCATCATCATATAATTAATATTTGAACATACATGCATGTTATGTTCCCGATTATAGTAGTATAAAAATTATATATGTACAAATTAATAGGCATTAAACATTAGTTTAACATTAAGAGCATTAGCTCTAGAGTTTTAATTGTATGGGAAATAACTTAAGTTAGTCACTATATTTATTTGTTGATTGCAACATAAAAACAAGACCATGGCCTTTTAAAATAATTTACAAGCAGCCTACTGGTATTTGTACAAAAGCAGGGAACTAAAATCTAGGTAACACTGCTCATTGAATTAACTAATAAATCTCCATGGTTGCCCCTCCTCCCAGCTTGCAAATCAGTACTGGTCACCCCAAACAAAGAATAGCCACCTACCTTATGATGCTTCAATTGTGGAATCAATTTATCAAACAGAGATTCTTGGATCCTTGTAAGTATTATATTTTCATCTCCATAAAATCTCTGTAACACTTTCACTTTTAATGCTAAGCCTAACTGATTTTAAACATTTGAATTTTGTTTAGGTTCAATGACCTAATGGATTAGTGCAATGACCTTTTTATTTTTTAAATAATCTGCCAGTAGTATTAACTATTTGTTGACCACCTTTTTTATATATGTTAAATTTTTTTAGTTAATAACATGTTTCATTTTCTTAACATTTTACCCAATTTAATTTAATTATCACACTTTTATTGATATACTAAAAAAATATATATTGTATTTGTATATAATGTGGAACATAAATGTGTAAAACTGCATAAACTACTTTACTAAGTTCAATTAAAATCCTTAACAGTTTTTCTGTTCGTCGGATCATGATGCTAGAATTCTCACAGTACTTGGAAAATTATTTATGGCCTCAATATAAGGCTGGAGAGGCATCTCATGCTCACATGATGTCAATAATTGTTATGATAAATGAGAAGTTCCGTGAAAGAGTCCCCGCTTGGCAGGTTAGTAAATTGATAAATAATAATATATTTTAGGGATTCAAATAGGAGGAAAAATTAAGAAGAGACAATATTATAAATATTATTCCATGATTTTGGAAAAAATAAACATAATATTCTTTGTTTTTAGTTTTGTAATAAGGACACTTACAACATACTGTACTTGATATCTTTTCTTGTTAATATTCTAATTTAATAGTGAACATTATCAGACTCTGTTATGCATTGTATTTAAGAACGATGTAACTTTATGTCACATACTTTCTTCTTACAGGCACTATTAAAAAAGCCAGAACATTTCCCAGCATTTTTTGAACAAGTGCTGCGTGCCAGTGTAACAGATGATCATACAAGTCAGAACATGCGTGAACAGACTGCACTGCTCTTATTCCTTAACCATTGCTTTGGAAGTATGGAGGTACAGCTCTGTAGGGATCAAGTCAAGCGTCTTGTGTCACTTAGTATGTGGATAAGCTTGCAAGAGGGTAAGTGTTATTAATTCATTTTTAAAAATTATATAACAAAAATTATTAGATATTATTTAGTTGACTTTTGAAGCATTATAACTGCACTCAAATAGTAAAAGTAGAGTTACATTATGTAAGTTACTAACGCCAAATTTGTTTATTAGCAAATAATTGGTAATAATCCTCCCAATTGCAAAATGTATAATTTGAATGCTTTTTGAGTGCTTACTTTTTGACTGTGGCACTTTTGTGCAGGCTGAGGAAGTACCACAACTTCCTAGAAAATGAGTGTGAAGAGAAAGTATTATACTTATAAACTTTGTCTAGTGAGTGGAGCAACTGTGGCACATCATTCTAAAGGCTGAAAGTGAAACTAACTCTATAGTGTTTAACAACTAATAATAGTAATTACTTTACTTCTAATATAGAAAAACAAATGTTTTATTTTCTAGGAAGAAGAAACCAAGAATTTAAACTTGTTCCAAAGTGGAAAAAATACTGGAGAGCTATACAGAAGAAAGATAAACCAGAACTTTTAGAAAAACTGAGTTGGGAACGGCATTACTTGCAGAAGCTGATGATAAAATTTATGCTGATTCTGGATACTGTGCCAGAAACTGGAGATATTGATGCAAATGTTGTGAGGTAAACATTGAGCAAACATGAGGTTTCATACATACCATGCCATTGATAAACATAAAACTTGATGTGTGATGACCCAAGTTGATAAAAATTTCTTGAGAAGTTTATTCACAATTTCAACAGATTTTTTATTTGTGTTATTAGTGTTACCTTTGGGTTGGGATGTTAGTTACATATAATATTTTATTCTTCTACCTGGTATAATATCCTAGCTAATACCAGGGTCTGCCTTCCTTCTTAAACTTCTCTGTATGTATAATATTTTATTGTATTACTTAGTACAGTTACTAACTGCATCAATAATACCATGGCTTAAGCTAGCTTAGCAATCTACCTTTGCATTAAGGGTTGTGGGTTGATCCCTACATGGGCAAGCTTTGTGTTATCTCTGTATAAATATTATTCCTCAAAGACGATTTTTGTTGGTACTCCATAACTTTTCTTTCATAACTTTTCATCAAATTCATTGATTCAATCCACCACCGATCGAAAGTGATCAAACAACATTCATTATTTAATCATGTTCTCTCCTCTATTCACAAAGTCTTAGTTATGTTGAATAAAGTCAATGTTTTCATAAAACATTTGTTTAAAAGTTTTAGGATGAAAAATAATGTATGACAGTGCCATCTATTGAATCTTTGTTTAAATAAAACAAAAAAGTAAAATGTGCTTTACAATTAGATAACTTTAATTGATAAATATTTATTTATATTTTTTATTATTGTTGTAAGAAAATTTCGCAAGAGTCCATTAGTCCCTACCTATACTATTGGTACTCACGCACATACTTTTTATTCCAGTGCATTATATTCTAGTGCAGTAGTTTCATTAAAAGTTGATTTACACTACACTGCCCTACAACAGTAACATTCTAATGTTAATATATTTTCAGAAAGGTTTTGACTAAAGCTAAATAAAATAAAGTAGGAACAGTACTCTAGAACCATTTTCTATTAATTATGTTCGTCATATATCAGTCATGAATAACTTGAATCTTTTTGGGTTTCGATTTTGGTACATAAAAATTCACAATTCAAGCCTCTGTTACACTCATAAACATTGTCATTTTAGTTTTTATATAACACACATTATTTCTCTTGTCCTTTTCCCAGCTAGGTGAACCATGCCTTTCTGAAGTCTAGCCCAAGGAGGCTAGACTTCGAACAATCAGCCAGACCTGGAAATATCATCAGCTGGACACACAGAATCGAACCCACATCCCCCAGCGCCAAAGCGAATAGTGCTTATAAACTGCATTACCAACTCATTTACATGTATTAAATAACTTTATAACTAAAAAAATAAAATTAAAAAATGTCAATAAGGTACTGCGAGAGATTCCTGGAGTTGATGATTGACCTCGAAGCACTTCTTCCCACCCGCCGCTTCTTCAATACTGTAATGGATGACTGCCACTTGGTAGTGCGTTGCCAATTATCTCCCCTAACAAGAAGACCTGAGGGCCAGCTATTTACACAGGTAAGTGATGCATCTGTTTTTCGTCATGCACACTATTACATATTTTTTATATAAATTCCCTATAGCCAAGGTAAAATTTAAAGTAAGTAAAGTATAAATAAAAAAAGTAGGGAACAACATAATTGATAGGATTTTTCGAAAGAGGCTAGCACTAAAAATTTAATTTCAATAACCAAAGCAGCAACTCTAGTTTTCAAATGTCAATTGAGAAAGTGTGTTTGATGTAAAGAAAGATCATTATAAAAACCGCAGTTAAGAATCCGTTAGCTACAAGACTTATATTAAAAAATGTTACCATTTTTCAAAAGTTGGTATATATTTCCATTGCTTTCAGTCTTAGGATCATATCTTAGGATAATGTTTAGATGGATAATTATGGATAGTAGAACTTTAAAATTATTTTTTTTATTTATAAATCAATGGTAGACCAACACTAGATTAAATTAATTCACATGGTCAATAATCTATACATATAATGTATATTATTAGATAATCACTTAATTTTTCTTATCTAAGGTTATGAGTAGTTATTATAACTGGGGACTTACTTAATTTATGACTCCATGGGTTAATTTGATGATGCATTATCTATTTTGTCTTTTTAATTTATTTTTCCACAAAACACATATAAGCTTCATGAGGACAATATTACAATATTATTCTTTTATAATATTATATAAAAGAACATTGGTCTATGTTGCTGATGTTATTTTATGAATTCTTTTACTGACACACCTGTCCCTTGAGAAATCTGATATGATTTATTACTTTTTTATTATAAGTAAATTATTTTGTTTCTATCTTTGGAAATAAAAGAAAGTATAGCACTATTAAATTTATTATATCTAGATCAATACTATATGAGACATCATTTCATAAAATACAATTGACTAATATACATACAAAAACAATAGTTTCAATAGAAGTATGCTTGTAAAAATCTTAAATAAAATGTAAATAGTAAAAGACATACAAAATTAAAAGACAACAGTAAATTCAATACACGTTTGTTAGTTCCAGAGAGCAATCTTCATTTACTGTCACTAACCACAGTTATTCAGCTGCCATGTAAATTTGTGGGACGGACAGAACAGACAATTCTTAAATTGAATAATTTACAGTCTCATTAATTATGTCAATACATTAATATTAATAATATCAACTTGTTTAACCCATTTACAATCATTTGGAAATCATTTCATATAATTCACTTGTAAACTTGTATTCCAAACTAAAATTATTTTAGTTTTATTAAAATTAAGTATCCTTCATGAGCAAACAAATAATAATATCACAATGTATACAATTGTCATCTTCAATTTATCTTTAGATTGATTTCACTTTGGTATTATGACACATTAACAACTCTTCCCGAGGCACAATTTGGTACAGCCAAAATATACAACCTATAAAATCTACACAAGCCATCTAACATTACAAACATGTCTCTTTGCTACAGAGTACCTATATATAATTTGTTTGGTACCTACAAAATTTAATACGGTTTACCTGTTTACAATCAAGATATAGTTATAAAACCATTTTTTTATTCATAAGTCGTTTTCTATAAGGCACTTAATTTATGTAGTGCGACTTATATTACAAATAAAAGCTTGTGTAAATCACAGTAATCAACTATCTACATAAGAATTAATTATTTGCTTCAACTTGTTAATTAATCACTACTATTAAGTTAAGAGATTCAAGCTCTAATACAGATATATACTTAATAATAGTTTCCTCCATTCATATGAGTCATTTCATCGCCCCACTCTCCAGTGGGCACTGGTTCAGCATAACAGCAACTTTTCCTTAACAAAAATGTCACATGGGACTGACGTACAATACATACGTAAAATATTAGAATAGCTTGCAGCAAATTTACAACAATATGGGCATAAATCAATGCATCAAAATTTAGCCATGATAAAAGTAGGAACAGCCATGATGTTGTCATTATCAAAAACAGTTGCAAGAAAAGATCGAAACTGAAACAAAAGGAAACAATAATATATTATTTCACACAACTCGACATTATGGTTTTCTCTACAGATGTAAAATGCACTTACCATCCTTTTAACTTGTAATGAATTCTGCCATAAATATTAATTCTTTTGATAACTTTTAGTGTTGTTATGTAAAAAAACACATTAAAAAGTATTGTGAATGCAACTGGTGTAAAAAATATTGCAATACCCAGCCAACCTGAAATGCATTTTTTTTACATTGAATGGTTTTTTTACCTTAAGAAACTTAAGACATTTACAAGTAAGACCTTAAATATAAGAAAAAAATAATAATTACTGTATATATTATATTATTTAATATAAAGCAATCACTTTAATGGAAAAAGGAAATAATGAAATTCCATACCAATTGTTTCTTGTTCCATATCATCTATTAAAATGGAAGAAGAGAACTGAGTCCGCATCTTTCGGTATGGGTTAGTACCCGTATCCAGCAAAAAATGAGCACAGATTGCCATTGCTGCCATTACTATAACACTAGACCACACCACACTTGAATAGTAGCAGTATTTCCTTACATCAGTTACTCTCAGAAATACATTCCTTGATCTGTAATTTAACATCAAATATGTTACCTAATAACCAGTACAATGTAGTTGATAGATGTGAAAGATGCAAAAGTAGCAATGGAATTAAGCAATTTGGATGATTTTTGGTTATTATCAATATTTAGAAGGTATAAGCTGTATATAATATTAAAATTTGTAGAAAAAAGGAACAAAAAGTAAAAACAAGAATAACACCATATAGTCATACTCACTTAAATGTTTTCCAGATATAAAATCCGAAACTGTTTAACCAAAAAAAGGCACCCAACAGGCTTATATACAGAATTATGTCTGAAAGAAAAAGTAATTTACTATAGTATGAATAAAGCATTATCAATTTTGATATCTTCTTTCTTTCAAGTCTAAGTGTAGTGGCTTAGTGTAATGGCTCAATAAAACTTGTTAACTTACCAGTAATCATAAAGCTTATATGATTGCTAAACTCCGTAAATATTCTCACTAAATCGGCTGCTTGGCTTACTATCAAGCACACATTAATACTTGTTATAATATTGCCAGCAAGGTCACGTAAAGTAGGTAGCACAAAGTATATAATAGCTGTTATTAAGAACAACACCATAGCAATTGCATGAAATAATGGATTTAAAACCTTTCTCATTAGAAAACTTGTGTCTTTCCAATTAATTTTTACTTCTGGGACACATACTAGAGCATATTCACCTGTCAAATTTGTGCTTGTCATAAATATCTGAAATAACGGAAATTGCATTGAAAATTCAAATCACATCAATTATAACATATATGGAATTAAACTAAATATGATACCTTATCCATGCAGTATTTATTCTTATCATGAATGTATGATGATGGTTCTTTAACCACTGGTATGACGATTGGTGCATGTAATGAATATGTATTAGTTCCCACATCATCTTTGATACTATCAGAAGTGTGTTCATGATGAATGAGATGTCTAAGACGACCATCTGATAATAGATTTAGTCTGTAACAACATAATAAATAAATATCTCTTTAGACTTAAGAAAAAAGTTGGTTTAAAAATAGTCCATACACAAAGAAATATCAACATACTCATCTTCAGATTTTCCAAAGTAAAATATAGGCCTTTGTTGTGTTGTAGCGCAGTCTGGAACACCACTTAAAAACTTGAAGTATTTTACCTTAGTGTCTTTACCTTCTTCTGTTTTAAATTGAGGCACCCATGTACCTAATAAAAGAATTATTACAAGTATATTTTAAAGCTCTCATTTAAAAATGGCATGTTTGTAATTTTTTAATTCTTACAATGTGTATTGTTATTTAATTCTTTTCAATTGTCATTTGAGTTGCCAAAAGCATGGTTCTGGATCTAATAAACCTAATTCCACGCCATAACGCTAGATGCATTTCCATGCTGAATAGTTATGCTTAACCTTAATAATTTATTCTTATTCTATTTCTCTATGTAGTATCTGGGTTGGTTGTTATTTTCCTTAAATGAAACACCTCTTTTATGTTAATAGATGTCATAATATAAATTATGCAATGGCTCAGGATGTTTTAGAAAAGCGAGCCGCTGTTCCGCTAGCCGAATTTTCGATAGAATTTTGGGCGAAACATAAATGTTTGGTGCACGTTATTTATAACTTTGTGTTTGAGGTTAAAAATTGTTATAATATTATATTTAGTCACTAATCATATATACTTACTTAGGTTATACTTATCGGCTAGACGGCAAACAGAGTCGACCATAAGCTCATTGGGCTCACAGCATTTATTAATAACTATAGAATTTTGTTGCTCTGATAAATCATTAAGATCCGTATCATCGGCAGATGCGATTACTAGCCAGGGTCCTCTCAGAATACAGTTTATCATTAATAAAAGCAATACAGTGCACATTGTAATGAAATTACAAAGGCTTCATCACAAATTTCTAAAGTAGTTAAAAACAACTACTGATATGAAGTTATCTAGTGCTTGTCAACCATATAATATTTGATTACTACTTTTATTTAGCACCTCACAAAAATAGCTCATTAATATAAAAAATACAGCTGCAGTTGTTTTTAAAATGCCTGTATTTTTGGCATTTGCAAAACTTTACCTCGCTTCTAACTTCGATTATTTGACACTCTTGACAGTTAAGCTTAAGTTGAATGAATCATAGTTCTTTTTTTTAAAAACTTAAATAAGACAAATGTTGTTTTACGTACAGTCATATTTATTATCTCGTTTTAAAACTATGATAAACTTATGATCTTACAAACACAATAAGTTTATTATAGTTTGGGCAAATGTAAATAACTTTAACTCTTCCGTAACTCAATTAAAATAAATTTTAAACGATAGAGAAAAATCTCTAATGAATTAATCAACAAGCAGAATTCGGCGGTCGCTTATAGTTTTCGAGAAAAAAATATTTAAAACTTGTTATTTTTACTAAGAAATCCACCATTTTATTTATTTCACTTCAAAAACTCAATACACAGTTCTGCCAACATGATAAATATAGGAAGCGGGCGACATCATACTCGTATCGATAGTCCGATTTTTAATTTAATGCGTCACAGAACCGACACAGAGCGAATCCGACTCGGATAGATTAGGTTAGAAGGTACAGGCGGAAGCGGAGCTCCCGCCTTAACCCTCGATGTTAGGTTATTTTTTTTTTATGACCACCAAGAAATACGAGCAGAATTGACATATTGACAACAAAAAAAAATGGCGGATGTCTATAGTAAAAATCACACTATTTCATTATTTATTTTTTCGAAAACTAAAAGCGACCGCCGAATTCTGCTTGTTGATAAATTCATTAGTGATTTTTCTCTATCGTTTAAAATTTATTTTAATCGAATTACGCCAGAGTTAAAGTTATTTACATTTACCATAGTTTGCTTTAGCTTTGCCAGTCATAAAATTTAAATGTCACTACTAATAGAATAAATTCTTTTAAAGACAAAGTGGCACATCATATGTTAAATAAAGATATAGAAGTCAATAATCCTAATGATTCTTGTAAATCAATGGTTGACTTTCTCATATCTTCTTATAATGATGTATTTAAATCGCGCACAATTGTTAAAAATTCAAAATTAAAATTTAGTGACTGGGCAACAGTGGGTATATATAAAAGTAGGGATTCACTGTATGAATTATATAATATGAGGCAGTGGAATCATGACCCCAACTTTCATAAAAGGGTACAAATGTTCTCAAAAATATTTAAAAAAGTCTGTATTCAGGCAAAATCTATTCATATAAGAAATAGAATAATAAATTCAAACAATAAAATTAAAGCCACATGGGACATCATTACCCGTATATCTGGAAGACCCAAGATATTCAGGGAACCTATAAAACTGGTTATAGGTAATTCTCCCATAACATCAGATAATGAAATTGCAAGCAGTTTTGAAAGCTATTTTTCAGAAATTGCAGTTAATGTCACACGTACATTAAAATCATCTCCCATAGATGCAATTAACGTTCTAAGAAATAATGTTACCTTTTGTCCCCACACATTTAAATTTAATCACGTAGATACTTATGATATTATAAAAGTTTTGAATTCTATTAATCTTAAGAATACAGGGGATTTATGGGGCATGTCCATAAAATTAATGACCACAATAATGCCATATATTGCACCACATTTAGCTAATATTTTTAACAACTGCATAGAATCTGGAATATTTCCAGATCTTATGAAATTTAGTAAGATAATCCCCGTCTTCAAAAGTGGGGATAAAAATGATCCAGGAAACTACAGACCTATCTCCATATTGCCATCTCTGAGTAAAATTTTTGAAAAACTAATTTTAAATCAGCTCTTAGTACATTTTAATATGAACAAAATTTTCACAATGAGCAATATGGATTCACTAAAGGCAGATCGACAACAGATGCGGGTATCGCACTTGTCAAACATATTTATAACGCCTGGGAAGGGTCGCAAGATGCAATAGGTGTTTTTTGCGACCTTTCAAAAGCTTTCGACTGCGTGGATCACAAAACCCTCCTTCTAAAGCTTGATTATTATGGCATTCGTGACATCGCCCTCAATCTCATTGCTTCTTATCTTAATAATAGAATTCAAAAAGTATCTATAAATGATGTAAATTCCGCAGGGTCCCCCATGAAAATGGGTGTCCCACAAGGATCGATCTTGGGCCCATTATTATTCTTAGTATATATAAATGATCTCCCCTTTTATGCCAGTGAGTTATGTGATGTTGTACTGTTTGCTGACGACACATCGCTTATTTTTAAGGTTGACCGAAATGTATCGAATTATGACGACGTGAATAGTGCACTTTCGCGTATCCTCCACTGGTTTACCATTAATAATATGGTGTTAAATGCTAAAAAAACTAAATGCCTTCTTTTTGCCCTTCCCAACGTAAGAAGGCAAAGTTTTAGCTTAAAATTGAATAGCGTAACCCTTAATCCTGTTGAGTCCGCTGTATTCTGGGAATCACAGTAGATTCAAAGCTCCAATGGAGTCCCCATCTATCATCTCTTGCGAATAGGTTAAGCTCCGCTGTTTTTGCAATTAGGAAGGTTAGGCAGCTATCAGACATCGACACTGCCAGACTTGTTTACTACAGTTATTTTCAGCATCTTGTCGTACGGAATTTTGTTGTGGGGTAGTGCATCTGATATAAATTCAATATTTATTATTCAAAAAAGAGCTGTCCGAGCAATTTATAACATCGGAGCCCGGAATACACTCAGAGATCTTTTTAAAGAGATTAATATACTCACTGTTGCGTCTCAATATATTTATTGTAATATTTTGTATGTTAAACAGAATATTAATAATTATCAAAAGAATAGTGACAGACATAAACTAAATACTAGAAATAAGGACAAACTAACTACGCCATTATTTCGCCTACAAAAAGTAAACAGATCGTTCATGGGGCAAAGTGTGCGCATGTATAATAAAATCCCACAGTCGATGTTAAGTCTGCCACTTGATGAATTTAAACGAAAAATTAAAAGTACACTTATGGCTAAAGCCTATTATACTATTGCCGAATATCTTGACGACGCCAATGTGTGGGGTTAATACTGTTGATACTCACGTAGGCTAAAACAAGACTATTGTACCTGTACTATTATATTGTAAACTGATTTTTTAAAAAAGAGCAACTGTTGAGTTTCTTGCCGGCTTCTTCTCAACAGAAACTGCTTTCCGAACCGGTGGTAACTTACGAACGTGTTAATTTCTTGTAAAATTTTGACGTTTCATAAGAACGCGCAAGCGTCTATGTGAATAAAGATATTTTATTATTATTTATTATTATTAAACTACGGCAATTTCCGTGAAAATATTACTTTCGTTTAGTATTTGGTAAGAAAATTATGTTGTGTTAATTTACCTTTATTTTTGCCATATTATCGGTAATATACATATTTTTTATTTGAGAAGGTAGCTCGCCTGCCACCTTCACTGCCTCTGCTCACTGATCTGCCTGCGGCAGTTCACTTTATGTTAAGGAATGACCCATTGATATTTGCAAATGCGTTGTCACCTTTTATTAAAGTGGGAAGTAGTAAAACCAACTTCGTCATGTCACTTTTTCGATGACGGTGTGCGCGCGCATCGTAAAAATTACTTTTTTTATTTTTATTAACACTTTTTCTTTGCGCCAATAGAAGTATAACTTCAATAATCTATTTTACAGATCAAAGGATCGTCATAACAGCACATTATCCCTATTCATACAAATACAAACGTTTGTTCGGTTTGATTTTTGTGCAACAACAGATCGAGATACTGTCTTGTAACATTATTTGTATGGTTAAAGTTCCATAGTTCAAGTAATCACTCAAATCAAATCAAAACAGAATTATTATTCATCGAAATAAGAAACATACGTTTCTATCTATCGATAGTCTTTTTGAAATCTACCATTGTTTCATAATGTGGTTCCTCTAATAGAGAATAAAGGAAAACGGAAAACGTAGGTATCCTCTTTTTTGTAATTTTTTCCTCTTATCATTGAAATATTTACTTCAAATTCAAATTATCTTTATTTATCCAATATTTAAAACATTAAATCTTAATATTTACTTAACATATATTTATATTTTTTATGTTTATATGAGCGATCAACCCAGGGGTAAAAAAAGTAAAGTAACAGGCTGTACAGCTGGTTGACTTTCTCATATCTTCTTATAATGATGTATTTAAATCGCGCACAATTGTTAAAAATTCAAAATTAAAATTTAGTGACTGGGCAACAGTGGGTATATATAAAAGTAGGGATTCACTGTATGAATTATATAATATGAGGCAGTGGAATCATGACCCCAACTTTCATAAAAGGGTACAAATGTTCTCAAAAATATTTAAAAAAGTCTGTATTCAGGCAAAATCTATTCATATAAGAAATAGAATAATAAATTCAAACAATAAAATTAAAGCCACATGGGACATCATTACCCGTATATCTGGAAGACCCAAGATATTCAGGGAACCTATAAAACTGGTTATAGGTAATTCTCCCATAACATCAGATAATGAAATTGCAAGCAGTTTTTGAAAGCTATTTTTCAGAAATTGCAGTTAATGTCACACGTACATTAAAATCATCTCCCATAGATGCAATTAACGTTCTAAGAAATAATGTTACCTTTTGTCCCCACACATTTAAATTTAATCACGTAGATACTTATGATATTATAAAAGTTTTGAATTCTATTAATCTTAAGAATACAGGGGATTTATGGGGCATGTCCATAAAATTAATGACCACAATAATGCCATATATTGCACCACATTTAGCTAATATTTTTAACAACTGCATAGAATCTGGAATATTTCCAGATCTTATGAAATTTAGTAAGATAATCCCCGTCTTCAAAAGTGGGGATAAAAATGATCCAGGAAACTACAGACCTATCTCCATATTGCCATCTCTGAGTAAAATTTTTGAAAAAACTAATTTTAAATCAGCTCTTAGTACATTTTAATATGAACAAAATTTTTCACAATGAGCAATATGGATTCACTAAAGGCAGATCGACAACAGATGCGGGTATCGCACTTGTCAAACATATTTATAACGCCTGGGAAGGGTCGCAAGATGCAATAGGTGTTTTTTGCGACCTTTCAAAAGCTTTCGACTGCGTGGATCACAAAACCCTCCTTCTAAAGCTTGATTATTATGGCATTCGTGACATCGCCCTCAATCTCATTGCTTCTTATCTTAATAATAGAATTCAAAAAGTATCTATAAATGATGTAAATTCCGCAGGGTCCCCCATGAAAATGGGTGTCCCCCACAAGGATCGATCTTGGGCCCATTATTATTCTTAGTATATATAAATGATCTCCCCTTTTATGCCAGTGAGTTATGTGATGTTGTACTGTTTGCTGACGACACATCGCTTATTTTTAAGGTTGACCGAAATGTATCGAATTATGACGACGTGAATAGTGCACTTTCGCGTATCCTCCACTGGTTTACCATTAATAATATGGTGTTAAATGCTAAAAAAACTAAATGCCTTCTTTTTGCCCTTCCCAACGTAAGAAGGCAAAGTTTTAGCTTAAAATTGAATAGCGTAACCCTTAATCCTGTTGAGTCCGCTGTATTCTGGGAATCACAGTAGATTCAAAGCTCCAATGGAGTCCCCATCTATCATCTCTTGCGAATAGGTTAAGCTCCGCTGTTTTTGCAATTAGGAAGGATAGGCAGCTATCAGACATCGACACTGCCAGACTTGTTTACTACAGTTATTTTCAGCATCTTGTCGTACGGAATTTTGTTGTGGGGTAGTGCATCTGATATAAATTCAATATTTATTATTCAAAAAAGAGCTGTCCGAGCAATTTATAACATCGGAGCCCGAATATACACTCAGAGATCTTTTTAAAGAGATTAATATACTCACTGTTGCGTCTCAATATATTTATTGTAATATTTTGTATGTTAAACAGAATATTAATAATTATCAAAAGAATAGTGACAGACATAAACTAAATACTAGAAATAAGGACAAACTAACTACGCCATTATTTCGCCTACAAAAAGTAAACAGATCGTTCATGGGGCAAAGTGTGCGCATGTATAATAAAATCCCACAGTCGATGTTAAGTCTGCCACTTGATGAATTTAAACGAAAAATTAAAAGTACACTTATGGCTAAAGCCTATTATACTATTGCCGAATATCTTGACGACGCCAATGTGTGGGGTTAATACTGTTGATACTCACGTAGGCTAAAACAAGACTATTGTACCTGTACTATTATATTGTAAACTGATTTTTTAAAAAAAGAGCAAATGTTGAGTTTCTTGCCGGCTTCTTCTCAACAGAAACTGCTTTCCGAACCGGTGGTAACTTACGAACGTGTTAATTTCTTGTAAAATTTTGACGTTTCATAAGAACGCGCAAGCGTCTATGTGAATAAAGATATTTTATTATTATTTATTATTATTAAACTACGGCAATTTCCGTGAAAATTTACTTTCGTTTAGTATTTGGTAAGAAAATTATGTTGTGTTAATTTACCTTTATTTTGCCATATTATAGGTAATATACATATTTTTTATGTGAGAAGGTAGCTCGCCTGCCACCTTCACTGCCTCTGCTCACTGATCTGCCTGCGGCAGTTCACGTTATGTTAAGGAATGACCCATTGATATTTGCAAATGCGTTGCCACCTTTTATTAAAGTGGGAAGTAGTAAAACCAACTTCGTCATGTCACTTTTTGGATGACGGTGTGCGCGCGCATCGTAAAAATTACTTTTTTATTTTTATTAACACTTTTTCTTTGCGCCAATAGAAGTATAACTTCAATAATCTATTTTACAGATCAAAGGATCGTCATAACAGCACATTATCCCTATTCATACAAATACAAACGTTTGTTCGGTTTGATTTTTGTGCAACAACAGATCGAGATACTGTCTTGTAACATTATTTGTATGGTTAAAGTTCCATAGTTCAAGTAATCACTCAAATCAAATCAAAACAGAATTATTATTCATCGAAATAAGAAACATACGTTTCTATCTATCGATAGTCTTTTTGAAATCTACCATTGTTTCATAATGTGGTTCCTCTAATAGAGAATAAAGGAAAACGGAAAACGTAGGTATCCTCTTTTTTGTAATTTTTTCCTCTTATCATTAAAATATTTACTTCAAATTCAAATTATCTTTATTTATCCAATATTTAAAAAATTAAATCTTAATATTTACTTAACATATATTTATATTTTTTATGTTTATATGAGCGATGAACTCATTCCCAGGGGTAAAAAAAGTAAAGTAACAGGCTGTACAGCTGGGCAAAGGCCCCCTCTGTACAGAAGGTATCAGGGCACCACGCGGTCCCACTGCGGATTGTCGGACTTCAAATATCTTCGAAATAATTTTTTTCTTATTATTTCGAAACGAAGTTCGTTTCCTCACGATGTTTTCCTTCATCGCGGAGCACGTGATAAGTCCGGACTTAAAATCAACAATTTCATTGGTGCCGGCACCGGGGATCGAACTCAGGTTGCTAGAGTATATTGAATTAGAAGCGAGCGCCCGGCCACTGGGCTATCACGGCTAAGGGGTTAATATCATTATTGTATTCATTTATATTATAATAACCCTTTTTATAAAATTCTTAATCTTTAATAATTTCCCTAAGCCTGTTAATAGGATTAGCTTTAGTTATACTTAATATATAGCTTACTTGGAATAGGTTTGATGGGGTCAGGGTACTTACCGGACGGACCTGCCCATTCGTGCAACAGCCGAAGCTATTTGTAGGTATTTCGATTATGTAACTGCATGTGGGTATTAAGGACAGTCTTGGTTCACTCATGCTCTTTCAAACACTGTTGCGTGGCCCTATCGTTAAACAACATGATTTACAAAATCGAATTCCAAGCAATCGCAACATCAACAAAACGATAAATTATAATGTTTTATTAGACAACATCAGTTATACGTACCTCAGGCCCAAAAAAATAAAAAAGGTTTTCTAATATAACTTTTATTTTAACATAAATATCATGCATTACAACAAATAAAGGAACATATTATATAAAATTTGACAGTCTGCTTCTCTCTCAGTATTTACATAACCAGTAAATTCTAGAGATAATTTATGACCTTTTATTTTTGTATCATAGTATGGCACTCTTATTTTATTTTACAATATACCATTAAACTCTTGTAAATATCCTTATATTCAAGTATTGTACAAATATGACTTACATCAATGACTAATGCAAAAAATATTAACAACTAGATTATTATTTATAAAATAATTTTTATGTATATATTTGGCTTAAAAGTCATTGACTGGTTTCAGAACAGGTTTTAGTTTATTAACTTATCTTTATTCTGTCGAGATGTATTTAAAAAAGACCAATCTAGGAGATTCTACTAGTCATGAAACTCGAGTATCATATGTTAAAACTTATTTGACACCTAAAATAGTAAGTTGATTCGTTTAATCATAAAATTTTACCATTCGCGCTTCAAAAGGTATTTATATTTATATTCTATTCTATTTAACTAAGATTAGACCTTATGAAGAAGAAGAACTTATTAATATTTCCGTAACTGACTGATAAATTACTCTCTCCTTACCCTAATCTTGTATTGAACCGTAAAACGTTAAAAACTCAGAAGGTTGTTCGGTTGGCTCCGACTAGTTCAGTCTAACCTCGACTGTGTCGTCCGCTAATATCTGTTGGTCGTCCGGATCGTCGTCTGGGCTCAGTTTCTCGGCCAGCGGACGGGTCACAAATAGGCAACAGCCCTCGGCGGCCAGGCCCTGCATGGCGCGTCTCCTCAGTACCACCAGTATGAGGAAGATCACCACCCCTTGCAGGCAGTTGAACGTGTCCATGATTTTCCTACGTGAATGGTCGAAAACTCAGAGTCAAAGCTTACAGAGCGGCACATACCTCGTCAGTGGTGTGGTGCGTAATGAGTGTTATGAACGCGAAACCAAGACGGGTCAGGGAAATTAATATAATGTTAAATAAAATTATCCACTAGGAGGTTCGTGATTTAGTTTTTGATGTTTTATGGCAGAAATAGAATTGAATAAGAATACTAAATAAGATTTGTGAACTACAGGTTTATTGGAATCTGTGTAAGTCGTTAGAGAAACGGGATGCATTATTACGAAAATGTTTAGATTCCTTGTAGTTTAAAAAAAATCGTAAAAAAATTCGTCCAGCGTCGGCCGCGTCTTCCTCCATAAGCGGCCGACGCTCTAGCCACAGAGTTTTTTTAATGGAAATAGGAGGCAAGCGGGTCAACTGATGATCTTCAAACCGTTGATGAATGAAGAAATGTCAACGTATTTTAACTATTTGGTTATTTATTCCATTATCAGCAATGTTCCGCATCTAGTGTTGCCCCACTTTTTCATATAACATTTTTGAAATATTTGAAAACTATAGATGTCACATCCTCGCAGTATTAATACAATGTAATTACCAAATAATATGCGCCTGTCCGTGTGCAAAACTGGCGATTTCGAATATCCACGAAATCCCCATGACCAGAAACAGCTTCAGTGAGACCAAAAATCTGTGGGCACATCGTGAAAAAAAAAATAGGCGATATTATCTTTGTCAATGGTTATTAATTTAATGATGATACAATGATGTTTACTGTACTATTTCCATGGATTATTTGAAGTATGTCTTACATTTTGTTCATTGTCAATAATCTAGTTTGAAAGTAATTTTTGCCGCTCTCCATAAAGTTGCTAATTGCTAACAAAACAAACGAAATCATAACGATCACCGACTGGATATAGATAGTTGCTAAGAATATTGCATCAGAGAACAGTTGAAGTAAAGACCTTCGATGCCGACAATACTTATGGATTCAGTATAACTCGAAAGTAGTGATCTTATTGGTTTTCTTTTAAATTCTACTTGTTTTATTTTACTTCTTGATTTTACGCGAATATTATACATATTAAATGAAGGGAGTCGACGTAACGCGGAAAAGGGTCCGAAACGTCGGGAATTTCAAATCAAAATAAAAGCGCGATAAAATCCGTAAACTAGTTTCATTTAATAGTTATTAGGATTGACAATCATATCAATAATAATGTTAACTTACTTATGCTTGAGATTATTAAGCTTGTTCACTTCGTATTTCCTCGTGTGCTGCATCCATAAATTGTACGACGAGATAACGAAAAGTGTAACGTTCGAAGCGACGAGCACCGCGATGGGACCGTAAAAGAATATCCAGGTTTCGGTGCGGCCTTAAAAGAACAAGATTTCGTTTTAACAGACACATCGATTTTAAATTAGGCAAAATCTTTCAGCGATATTGAGGTACATCAAAGATTAACTGTAGATTATTGCATGTACGGTGAACGGTGTAGATATATTTGTGAACTTTTCTAAAAAAATTGTATAATTCTCTACGTTTTGTACAATAGCGGATATTGTATTATACCTAAGTTGATACAAAAATTATTTATGCCGCATAAGTTGGGCAAAGGTTATCACATAAATTTGAACACGGTTATATTGCTTGATATACGTTGGTTATGATGAAAAGTATCGTTTTCTTGTAAAAATAAATAGAAATCGGTATTCGAATAAAAAAATAAATGTAATGGTATAGGCGCGAATTAGAACACAAACACATCTAACAGATATCCAGCTATTCAATGTGTACGTGTTCTATGTAACTTCACTAATATGAATTTAAAGCAACTCAATTATTATAATACTCACCTTGGAACCAGCAGCCCGTTTCACCGATACCGGGCTTCCAATGGTCTCCTTCGGCAAAATTTGTTATCAGCGACACGATAAGAAACAGCAGTGTGCAGCCCCAGGCATAACAGCTGTACCAAAAATACTGCTTCCTCTCCGTCTTCTTCAAGTAGGCCGCGTCTCTGGAAATTTTGAATTATTTTTTTAAAAACTCGAGCAATATTGAGTCTGTGAATAATACCTCACTGTTGCACACCCTTCGCTGTTGCACGAATGGGCAGGTCCGTCCGGGTAAATACCATACGACCTCACAGAAAACCGGCGATAAGTGGGAGTGTCACTTCTGCGTTTCGTAAGTGTGGTAGCCGGGACCCACTTTATTGAAAGGTGGCAACGCATCTGCAACCCTACGGGTGTTGTATATTTCAATGGTTGGCGGTTATCACTTAACATGAGCTGAAGAACAGCAAGAAGCTCGCTTGCCATCGTCGCACATAAAAAATAGAAAAATAAATAAACTCACTGAACACTGCGATACATGTTGATGCTGATGACGTTCATCCAAAAGAAGGTTGCCATCATCCAAAAATATACCAGGAATCCTGAAAAAGACGTCAATATAAAATATTTAAAGATTCATGTTGTCTTTACTCGACGACTGTTTATAAGGGACAAGCTCAGTAAGGTTTAAAAAAAACACGCAATGACACATAACAATGTGACATACTGTATGGAAGGCTGGATCTCTACTTTCAGAATCCCTCCTCGCAGTCTAAATAACTAATATGAACATAAGTCACATGCCGCCTGTAATCTGCTATATGGTCATCGGATGCGGTGGTCAAGAAACTCCTCTACAGCAGTTATTAGTTCAGAATTAGTTAATGTGTACACACCAGTGACAGTGCATATTTCGCCAGCGAATTGTGGACTGAGCTGGAGCACTCCCAGTGACAGGAATCCAAGGGCCATGCTGATGCACATGCACATGTAGCAGAGCCCTTGCAGGTCCCTGAAACATTTGTTTACATGCCACTTCATCATGCACGGCTATAGCAGCACACGAAAGTCGATGAGATGTTCAGTCATATTCTTATCAACAGACTTCAAAAGGAGTAGGTTCTGTTTTTTTTTTTATGTTTGTTACCTCAGAACTTTTGCCTGAGTGAACCGATTCTGATGATTTCATTGCTATTGGATCTGGGGTTAAGGAGATACTTAGGGAAATCAATTACAAAATGAATACAGAGCGAGATATTTGAAGTCGGTTTTGTTTTTCGTTAGTAAAAAAATGGTTATATATTATCAAGTAACTTCAATAATTTGTAGTGATAGAGCTACACATCAGTCTAGTTCTACTATTGCGCTATGGGTCGGGCCTTTTCGGAGAAGTGGCTACATCATGGTCTCACTGAAGACATATGTATAGATTTTTTTTATACTTTCGCGATTCTGATTTCTGAATTTTTAAATTTTATTTAATTGAACATTACTTACATTAACGTAACGTTAGGTGTTTTGAGAATGTCCATGTTCACTATTATTCAATCGTCTGCTCCTTATAGTTTAAAAAAATAAGTAAGTAAATTGGGGACAAGTCAATATAGTCGCTTGAGACAGTCGAGAGAAACAATTTCATGCGTAGTTGAAATTTCTTTAGTCGTCGTATATAAAATATCTTCACTGTATGCTTAAACATTTTTTACCTCTGACTGACGTAACATGAATAGTAATCACACGAAGCGTACTGCATATACAAACCTCATTTGCGGTAGGTACATGTAAACAGCGAAGGTGGCCGCTAGGAAGAACACGGAAATGAGCGTGAGGATACCACCGGTCTCTATCGAGCTCTGGCGGCCCAGGTCCTCGAAGCAGACGATTGCGGCCGTCTCGAAGCCCATGCTAGGATCGCTTGTGTTTCGCTCCACGGTACCCGTGCAGTATCTACATCAAGAGAGAGAACTTTGTCGCTTGAGAAATGTAAAGTAAAAAGAAACGTAACACACGTACGTCCCACTGCTAGAGAAAAAAGTTTGATATGATCTTTACCTCCTTAATAAATCGATTGATAGTGAGCAAAGATTAAAGAGAATGGTTCCATTATACTTATTCACTTGTACATGCGTAGATACAAATATTCGTAATATGTAAAAAAAAAAAAATATTCATAATTTCTTAACTGAGAATCCCTCAGCTTTTTCGTTCCGGTATTATCGCTTCATAGCGTTGCCCTCCAGGCAAACAAATGGCTTAAATGAAATATTTACTCCGTTGTTTGTTGGATATATAAATATGACTAAAGCCAATGCATATAATAATACAAACATATATACACATACATACGTAAATACATACATACATACATGCATAAAGAAAGACATTTTTAGTAAAAAAAAAAAACAGATCCACGTATCGATAGGGCTACGCAACAACTTCTGTTGTTGCAGGAATGGTCAGGCTGGAGCAGGGGATTACCATGGTTACAAGGAAGCCAGTGTTTAGTGGAAATATTATATTTTTGTTTGTCGAATGAGGTAACCCGGTTCCCCTAACGTATCGTTGTAAACGCATCTGCAAGCCTCTGGCGTTGTTGATATCCATAGCCGGCGGTAATCACTTAAAATCAGGTCAACCGCCTGCTTGCTTGACAAAACTGAGTTCAGGGTCCATGAAATTTTAATATGGGTTCAACCAAATCCAATGCATAAAGAATTTTCAAAATAGGTTTAGAAATAACGGAGTTCTAAGGTAACAAACATAAACAATGTATGTGTGTATTTATCTAGGCACGTAAGAAGTTATACTTAATATACCTAGATAAGAAAGTTAATTCTTAAAGACATTATAGGCAATGGTTAACGGTTTATTTAAATAACTTGCAATTATTGGTAAATGTTACCAAGCTTTTTGAGGGTCAGTGTTCGCGCGCATCGTAAAAATTTTACTCTCATAATTTTTCCCAAACGCGCCAAAAGAAGCAGTAAAGTCAAAAATAACCGATTTATGTACCTCCTCCTTTTTATAAGTCGGTTTTAGACAATCAACACTTGATTGTTTTTCAGCGCAAAACTTGACAGCTGCCCCGTGATATGAACGTAACACATACTCTCTACAGACGAAACTTCGATAACGCGCCCCAGCTGAACGGTCCACTCGTAACAGTATGTGTGCGACGGATGTAACGCAATATTATTTTGATTGGATTTTTTTGTTGCTCCTAAAAGTTTTTCTACCGACATTGTTGATTTTGTTCTCTGGTATGCACGGTTTCATTTGCCTCTAAAGTTTTATCGCGAGATCCGCCGTGCGCTCGCTTAACACCATTATATCTTTTTTTTTATTCACAAATTTATTGCTTAACCATCATCCGGCTTGATGGTAATTCATGCAGAATTAGGCGGTAAAACGGGTTAAGAAGAAAACGGAAATTTTGGTCGTATTTCGCTGTAATAATCATCGATAACGGTCATTGCCTGTTACCGCGGGATTTAGATGACCTTATTTATAACAGTGCGAAATCAAATTATCCTCCTTACATATCATTAAAGATCGCTGATTGGCCGTTGACCCATTTCAATGGTCTAATAATGTGACCTGCATGATCCGCGATATGCAACTGATTCAATGAACATATTCGCTCTTCGATACCCTAACACAGTGATTCTCAACCTTTTTTTTTTGTTGCGGCACGTATTTAACGATTTCAAAATTTGGCGGCACACAAAGAAAAAGATAAAAATTATTTACTTACTACAACACACTGCATAAATAGTTTATTACAAAAATTTCAAATATACGAAATAAACTAATATATACTACAATAATAACTAAACATTTATTAAGGGATTAATTACAATTACGTAATAAAAATATTTTTAATGCGAAATTTGAGCTTGATGTTTTTTGATAATTTCATTTATATTTGGTCGTAAAAATGACAATGCGACTCTCATATCGTCTTCTACATTTAACAATCTTGATCTTTTTTTAGTTTTAATGTTGGCTAATGCCAAAAAATATTTTTCTTTTTAAATGATATTATTTAATAATAATAACATTATTTAATAATAATAACATTATTATATATTAGCAAAATTTGGCGGCACACAAAAGTGCCGCGGCACAGTGGTTGAGAATCACTGCCCTAACATCTTCACAGTCAGTATGTGTAAACATACGAATTTAGGTTAGGCAATTTAGGAATTTTATAATGGAACCAAAATATAGTTTTTGCGTAAAACATTAGATATGTATGTTTCTTATTTACACATTAAATCAAGAAATACCAAAACTAACACTGATAAGTATTTTTCCTTAACAAAAATATATCGAAATTCATTAAAAACAACCGTCATGTTTTAATGTTATAATGGATCAATTAATACGGCATGTAATTTTGTAGAGCGGTGTGATAATTTAACTAAGTTGAACATTGGATTACCTTCTTTCTTGCTATTAATATGGAACCATATTTTTTAGTATTATTTCGTTCAATTCCTTTACAAAATTTCTTTCAAATCCTTTCAGTTGATACGATTAGAAGCCAGAACGAACACAGAAACATCCGTGTTTATAATATTATCCTAAAGTGAAACATTTTAAAAATGTTTGTCTTTTATTTTATGAGATATTCATACACAACGCCCGCGGCGCTGCACTTGAGTTGCCAACTGTACGAGGGTACGCCACGGGTACCTCACTTATCAAACGAATCGCAAAAGTATAAACGCATTACACCGGTTTTCTGTGAAACCGGGGCGCTTTCTGCACAGCGACCACAGAATTACTAGTGCCGCTGATTAGTTATTATACCCATTTGTGTACACATTCGAGGCGTTTTGAAACGCGTTTGGCGCTATTTAATGGACTGCATAATGCGTTCGACATGACGAAATTGATTCGTAAATAATGAAACCGCTTGTCAGTGTTTATTATAAGGTCAATCATTAGGGCCCGGCTAGTATTCTAAACAGTGCTGCCGTTTATGACAAAAGAAGGAGAGGTGATGCCACAAACCATTCGGTTGGAATTTCGAGGATATGAAAGTTACTAATAAATAATTTCATTACGCCATTAATCTATGTGTACAAACTTACATTTCATAGAAATTATAATTTTTTACTCTATATTCGCTCTTATTTATCTTATAAGTGTTATTAGAGCGGTACACTCATCTACCATATCAGTTTTACATCATTTAATTAAATATTGCTCATAATTAATTATGTTCACATTCATAAATCGCACCTTGAAATAAAACATCGTTACGTGTGTGAGATAGTATATCTGTGATAAAATCATCGATCGATAAAATTAGCTTTTGTAAGTTTAAAAAATAAAATTGCCTTTATGGTAATAAAACGTATATGCATATTATGAATCCACAAGACTGCAACAGTGTGTGACTCTTACGCCCGGTTTTTGAAACACTGGTCATCGTAGATGTCAACTAATCAGCCGTCAAATGGATTTCAAATTACAATTTAGGTACCAAAAGAATGGTTAAACTCTCTGAATTGACCAGAATGATCTTTATGATCAGAATGGGCGTTAGTGTTCAGTAGCTTTCTTATAATTGTTTGTTTGTTATATTTAATGTTACTTAACAACTGAGATTTTTATCTACTTTATTATATCTAGAATAATAGATAACTATTTTTATCTACTCAACAATAGAATGACGTATGCTATTTGAAATAGTCATATCTATTTCATGCTAAAAATACTACAGTATTTGAAAACAACTTCCATTTGTTATCAAAGTTAACTAGCTCGATGCATAATAATGAGTTAAAAGTTATAAGTCATTAGACCAATTTTCAAATCTGCTAAATATAGATTAAGAAATAAATTATATGCAATAAATAGTACTAGTTATTAACCCATGCGAAATTTTTAGCTGATCAGTTACCGAATGGTAATATACATTTGTCAATAAGTATTTATCACTTAAAGGTATAATTTTGAATAGGAACGTTTTTCAGTCTACTTTACAATTTTTCATTTAAAAACATTATCATTATAATGCATGTATAGTATTCGCTTAAAACCACGAATTTATTAAAAACAAAATTGTCAATAGATGGTCTGATCTATTTATCTATTTAACAGAGATAATAGCTTTAAAATGATTATTGAATCATTAAATTTGATGAGAAATAATGGAAGTTATTGCCTTAAAAAACCCTTTGAGGAATATTATATCGAGATAATGTCAACAGAAAAATTGACATCGTTACAAATGACAATTATTGTTACGGGCATGACGAGAACAAGATTTGTTTTTTTATAACAAATCAAAAGAAATAACAATAGATAAGGTCCCAAGTTCTGTGGTCCGGTCAAGAGTTTAACGAATTAGTTAGGCGATAAGGTCTCCGAAGAGCTGTGGACCATTCCCAAAGTCTTATCGCGCGCATGCTAGTTGTTATCAACAGGACATAATACTATTTTTAAGCGACAGCTTCTAGTTTCAGTTCTATTAAACAAGTACCTCGGTTATACTGCAAACTTTTAATGTTTGGAAGTCCGCTGGGCCGCGTAAAAGCACTTTCATATTTATGAACATGTCTGATATACGTTATATGGTGAGTTTTTGTTCAATTCATACTTCAGATATGAACATATACTGCTATAGAGCCACGCAGCAGTTTGTGCTGTTGCAAGAATGGGCAGGCTCGTCCGGGGAAATGCCACGGCCTCACAGAAGACGTGAAGTGGAAATGTTATACTCTCGCGTTTCTTCTGGTGAGTGAGGTGACCAGGTCCTAATTTTTTAAAGGTTGGCAATGCATATGTTACCCATCAGTTTTGTGGATGTCCATGGGCGGCGGTAATAGCTTAACATTTGGTTAACAAGCGGTTCAACCTCCTTACAATTTCCTGATAGAAAAAAAAAACA